GTAAGTGCATGCATATGTTCTAAAATGATTTTTAATTGTTTCTAAGCAGTATAACTAATTGTTTTTTACTGACCTCCAAGTCTAACCAGCAGATTTTTTGTTTCTTGACCATATCAATTTTTAAGATTTTAAATGCAGTGTTCCTGAAATAGTATCATATTCATGGGAATATGTAATTTATGTGCCTAGGTTTTCTCATGCATTCTGCGGACAGTAAATTCAGTTAATTCTTGTAAATATTATGAAAATCAATTCATTATGTTAGAGTTATTGCCCCCCCTCTCATGAAGTCATTATTTTTCTTGATAACTGTCAGTGCTGTTTTGATTTTACAGTGATGAGTCTTGACTAAAAATTATTAAATATGAAAATGAAAAAAAAATAAATAAAAAAAAAATTGGTAGTGTTTGACATTTAGTGATTAAAAAAAACATTTCAGTGAGTTTAGTTGAACATAAAGACAAAAAGAGTGAGTTTCTTTAAATGTCTTGGGTACTTTATGATTCTTACTATTACATTGATACAAACTTCATTGATTCCTTTTAATAACTCACAAAAAGTAACATTAAGTGGCTGGTTTATTGAAATAATCAAATGTTAATTTGCAAACATGGTGAAGATTACAGAACAATCTTGGAGGCTGTAAGTATAGCATCTGAGTTGTAGAGTAATCAAGTGTTCCTACTTCACCCTGTTTATATTTTAAACCCTCTGACTGCTAACTCACTTGCGAAGGCCACCAATAATAGCACTATGCCAGACTCGCAGCTTGTCCAGACTAAGTACTTTTAGCTGTTCGATTTACATATTTTCATATTGAACTCCCTTTAATTATCAGAAGACTATACTAAATCCAAACCTGGGCAAGTCCATTGTAAGAATTTAGAGAGATAAACATTATTAGATGTTTCTCTGGTAAAGTTACATGATCTCCTATGATTGATCAATTCAATTATGCCAAAAAATAAACTTGTGAGTCACAAAGAGTGGGCTTATCTAACAAGAGTAATTTCTGGTATCAAATTCTGATAAACATAATACATCAATTGCAGGCTGATATAAGCAAATGATTTACAAAGCCAAGATATTGCTGTGGGAATAAATCAGTCAGGTGTACTTCAAATTTAGTTTAATTTTAAAGGAATTCTCTGCCCAGAAAATGTGTGGTCTTGTAGAAAGTTACTAATCTGTAGATGGTCGGTTCTTTTGTAATATGTATAGTATTGATGTTGTATGTTATATTATTATAGTACTATATGAACAAGGAAAAGGTAGCTTGGTCAGCTTGCATCAATGGCTCAGCAGTTTGAGCTAAGGCAAACCAGCATTTCAGTAAGGCAGACTGGGCTGTATACTGTTTGTATGCCGTAGGTAGAGCATTGGACTGTGAATCGGGCGACCCGGGTTCGATTCCCGGACGGTGCAGGTCACTTTCGTTGTGATTAAATATTTAATCCTTTCATTCGCTCTGTACCTCTGTTCTGGCATGTTCAGTTCCTTGCCTAGTACTGGTAAACTGCTTGACAGCCTGCCCATGAACAATTTGGTGGTTGAACTGTGTTCCTCTGAATTCAATGTGGCTTACTCAATACTGCCGTGATCCGGAGTTAAACTACCAACACCACCACCACTATACTGTTTGTTAACTACAAATATTTTCAAATTGATAGTATACAGGTCCGAAAACTGAAGATGGACAAATCTATTTTAAGGCATTCAGCAGGTTAAGAGTTAAAATTTTAATTTATTGTGTACATCAGGTAGATTTTTTTATTATCATAAATTGAAATCTTTAATATCCAGACCTTGAGTTTATTGTTGTGTACGCCAGAAATCATGGAAACATGAAGATGGCAGGAATTTCCTGGTTTAGTGGTGGATAATAAAATTGATGTTTTATGCCATTTGATCTCCTTGATATATCTATAACAGAAAATAAATCTCTCACAAGTTATAATAGGTTAGCCATCATTGCAAACAATGACCTTTGAGAAAAAAAAAACCCAAGTGATTCATTGAAATTTTAAAATAAATGTGTATTAGATTGCAGAAAATGTCGAGAAAAAAGTCCAAAATTTAGGAGCAAGTCATTGTGGTTTTATTATGCTGGTAATTTATATAATCCTGTTGAAGATCATTATTAGGATCAAAACTAGTATTAAAAGAAATTATTTTACATGTAACCTGTTAGATGGTGATGTGTTGAGAGACTCTTAGGTCTTTCCTTATTTTTTGGTAATTTATATTTACATGGGTGTCAACTTCAGGTATTTTTCCTTATAACTGTATAAACAATTCTGTGTAGATGATATAAAGAGGTCTATGTTGACAAGTGGTCTTTAATATACAGGTATTATCTTTAACTAAATGACTATTAAGGACAAAAAAGTATATATTTGTGGAGGATTTTTTAGCTTGACTTTTCTAAGAATAGTGGTGTTATCCTTAACTGACCCTTACATTGACAGATAACTCTTTCAAGAATATTATACACAGAGTTATTCCCCTTTGTGAAAGTTATGGCCCCTGTTTTACCATTAAACACAGAGAGAATTATGTAGAAGTCTGACAGCCTAACATTGTGCAGCATCTAAAAGCTGTTGTTAATATCAGAAATATAAGTAAAATGATTATAATCCTGAAGTAATGTTTACTTGCAACATATTTTATCAGCCATGAAAATTGGTGATTTTTTTTAGCTTGGCTGCTGGAAGAATAGGGAGAACTATTGCACTACAGTGTTGGAGTTAGTTGCGGCATCACTGGAATAGGTTAAAACTTTACCCACTTGTTCTCTGTGATAGGCACAGGTCCCATTACTCTGAGTTACCTTGTAACAGAGTTATGAGCCTTTTCTTACTGTCAAACAATGAGAATAGTCGAGCACACTGTCTTACTGACAGCTCTTGTTTCTTGAATGGGTATTGATTATGTAAGATCTGTTTTATTGAATCTTTTTACATGCCTGAACATCATTCAGAAAAATACTCAAATTATGATTTGATAATATTGTAAGTTATATTTTATTATTTTGATATTTTTTATTAATCCCTTGTTAATTGGTCAAGACATGAACATTTCAAAATTCAGTGCAAAAATTAAAGTCCAATTTACCTACAGTGAACATTGTTAAGGTAAAATATTATAAGGGCTGCAACATCTTACTTTATATATAGATATAGATACATGTACCTGTTATCTACCTATGTATACTTTCCACCAGAAAACGAAAAGTGCATTTAATCTCATTTTGTGTTTGAAATACTTTAAAAACTATGAAGCAAAAATATGCAAGGAAGATGACACATGTAATTTGAAACCCTTTTGTAATAAGAAAGGAAATATAAAGAAAATACTTCGGCAAAAAAAAACACCAAAAAGTAGAACAATTTGCAGATTTTAAAATGATTTTTAGTATATAATTTTTTTTTTTAAAGTTCCATTAAGTATTGTTATATAGTTAAAATTGAAAAGAGCATATTTATTTTTCTACTTAAGATGAAAACTTGCGCTGAAAAGTTTCATGTTTTGACATTTTGACAGATTTTGACGTAATTTTCTTCATTTTCGTATCAAAATCGTATGCATCATGTGCAGTAAAATGCGTGAACAAAGATTTATTGTTTGTGATTCAGCTAGCATGTATCAGTTAGCCTTCTTTTGCCAAATGATGAGATATCAAACATGATTAGATTGTTGTTTATTGGGAGAGACTTAAGAAACACAAGAAATATATAGATTAAGGTGTTAGATGTTCATTAACATAAATACTCGCATTCATGTTGCAGAGTTTATCATTTCCAAATCTTCACTTGTTTTTTTAAATCTTTTACATGTTGATAAAATTTTAAATGTATGATATATCCTGTTTTATTATATGTGTCAAGATGATTAAATTCTACACTTGCATGAAATTAAAAAAAATAATATATATTCTATATAGTGTCATGCTGTCTGTACGTGGGAGGAGCACAGAATAGCCAGTATGCTGTTCTTTTCTGTACACAAATGTATTTGTAACAAAGATAAATTGAAAAAATTACACAGAATGATACAGATTTTGCTTTGAATAAAATAACAAGTCTTTCATTAAATCCTGGAATTTACAAAATTAGATATAACAAAGTTACTCCTCCCACAGTCTGCAGACGGTATTAAAGATTATATTTTTTACTGATTTTTAACCACCATTGTTCTGGTGATTATAAAAAAGTAATATCAGAGAATAAGAAATATAAGAGGTGAAACAAGTAGATTCAGCTGTCGAAAAATTTCTTTCACTAATCCTCAAAATGACAGGGTTAATCAGACTCCCTATTCTCTAGGAAGATGGCAACGATAAACAAACTGATCGTAGCAAAAACGTAACATTTTCACTGTACCCAAACTTGTAATTACTATTGACTATTACATGATCTTGTGGCATTCTCAAATCTTGATAAAATTTTCGTGGAAGCATTCTTTTTTGTATTGTTTGGCACATGATTTATTTGATTGTTGATTTGGGGAGATGTATAATTGATGTATTTCCTGATTCTAGAATAATATAATTATGTTGAGGCACTTTCAGGTATGAGGAGAAATTTTGTCCCCATTCCAAGACTAAAAAACAAAGAAAGTTTTTGTTTATTATATATTTAGTATCTAATACTAATACTTTAAGACTGGAGTAATTAAATCGTCAATGAATCTTTTGCAGCCTGAAACTTTACCTCGCAACGCTTGATATTTAATATAGATAGATAGATTTATTTCGGTATGGAATACATAAACATGGACATTTAAAACAACATGTACGGTACAAACATTTTAAACATACAGCCATAACATGCGCACCAACACCAAGGACAGCACAAAATAATCCGATAAAATGTTTTGTAAGGGGCACATAACTTATGCAGGGAATAATTCACTGAATAATATTACATTTTTAGAGCCTTTGATCAATATAATATGTTATGATTGATATATAAACGCAACTTTGTTTTCTGTATTTTCAGGACATAAGAAAAATAGTAGCACCATTATTAAAGAGTTTCCAGGGAGAAATTGATGCACTTTCGAAACGTAGTAAGGCTGCCGAAGCTTCCTTTTTGTCTGTCTACAAGAAACTTATAGACCTTCCAGGTATGTGCCCTTTAAAGTTTACCATACTTTTATATCGATGCTCCACAACTCTGAAAATATGATGTTTTCCCATTAAGTCATGAGTTACAAACAAACTTTTACAGTTACAAATTGGTCAATATATCAATACAAAAGCATATAACAGGTGGATCCCTTTCAGTGTGAAGCTATAACTGTAAAAGTTTCTTTGCACCTTGGGATAAGATGGTGCAGAATTCTGTTTAACATCTATTAAGCCCTTCCACATATGGGCTTTTATGATGCATAAGTATCCTATGGTTTAGCTCATATGCAGTCTGTTCATGTTCTATACTATTGGCTGGTAGAAATCTTTTAATACTTACCTTGCTAAATATCAATGGACCTGTCCATCTTTATATCTGGACAAAACCATTCATACTTTTTAGGGAAAATTTCCAAATAGCAAATAGTGCAGACCATGATTAGGTGGCACAGATTATACGGCTGATATTGGTCTGCACTGGTTGCATGGGAAGAATAAGTTGCTGTCTACAGGCTTAGATTTAAACAATCCAGACACTGTTGAAGGCCAAACTGTACTTATCTAGAAGCATCAGATTTAAATGATAGATTATCACTTTGCTTTACTTTTCAATAATCCAGTGTTAAGGTAATGGTCAAAACTGTCTAACTTTTGTTATATAACACATCATCATTTAGGTCTCAAGTGTCTGTAGATGTGAAGAAAAAAGAAGGAAAATTTCAATAAAACATTCAGGAATGTCATTATCAAGTCTTTTGTACCCCTGCATTTTTATATGTCACATACACACTCAGAGCTCTATATTAGCTAAAAAAACGCAGGAAGCCAAAAAATCGACATTTTTTGACAGCTTAGTTTTGAATATAGCCATGTAGGAAGAGTGTGATGTCTTGGGGAGTTTTGGTATTGATTGTGCTCTTTAATTATTTGATTTGTGAAATTGCTATTGATCTTCAGATAATCAGAGGTAATTTGGCAACTAGCTGTTCTAGTACAGTAAGTTATAAACTTCCCTACCGTCTGCTTATTTTGTCTGTGAGGTGATGAAAACATGATACTTTTGTCAAGAAAAAAGGCATCTTTTGTTAGTGAAAATTCCTTTACAGTATAAGCTAGCCTTTTGAAAAGAAGGTATTTATTGTCTTAAGATATTAAAGCAAAGCAGAATTAAATAAGTTAGTCAAACATTTTTAAGTTTGTGGGAGAAATCTGATAATGTGTGCTGCAAATTTAATACATTGGGATATAAAGGTATAAGATATACAGTGGGTATCCTTAATTTGATTGTCTTCACAAGTGGTCTTTATAGATGGATGGTCATTTTTTGCAAGGAGGTCTTTAATGACAAGTGCTCTTATATAACAGGCTGGTCAGATTATTATAAATCAAACAGGAAAACAAAATAATAGCATTTTAATTCTTATTATATTTCTTTATTTATCAATATGGCCTTACCGTAGAGAGGATCCTTTTATGCAGGTTTTACTGTACTGCTTTAAAAAAAAACCACTTAGAAGCCTTCAAGGTGTTTTTGTACTAACGCTAGTGCATGATTTGTGTATGAGAAAATGATTGTTGTAAATGAGTGTTTTCTACATGAAAATATTTAGCTAAATCTCAATATTGAACAATCAATAGCTAGCAATTCTTAGACCTACAAATCGTCATGGAAACGGAGTTCCTATAATATAATCAATATTTCATTTGTCAATATATTGAATAAAATGGCATTCAGTGATGTTTGCTTTTATTGAACAATATTGACTAAATTTGGTAGTTCCGGTGTTATAAAACTATCAATTGTACGGAGATAATTATAGTTTATGGTTGACTCAAATGTTTAAGTTTTGTAGAGCAAATTAGAGATATTAGAGTTTTTAAAAGGACAGATTAATCATATTGGATATTGCTTTATTGAAGAGAGGACAATTTTACTGGTTTGTACAAATTTATCTTATTAACCTTTTTTTCTTTACTGATTTTTGCACATGTATAATATTGATGTTTAAGTGTTTACATTTTGTCATAAGAAAAGGGCTACTTCTGAACTGCGATACTTGACTCTGATAAAAAAGATTTTGTTTACTGTTCATTCAGTTTGAGTAAAAACTATAAAAAAAAGTTTGTTTCATTTGATTAGAAAAAAGATATTTCAATCAAGGTTGTGGTAATACTACAGTAGATAAAATAATGTTTTTGAAATTTTGTAAAATTCATTTTAGTTTCAACATGTTATTGTTTTTTGAAGCGTTTAAAAGCATTTTAAGTAAGGGAAATTCTTCAATGTGTGCTTAAATTTAGGCATTTTTTAGTGAAGTCAAGATTTAAGCACAGAAAAAGGGATATTGTAATTCTAATTAATGATATGCATATTTGGCAGAATAGCTAGCTGTGGAAAATAAATATATCAGATCAATATCAGATTCATTATTTGTTTAGATTGTATATTAAGTGTATATGTATGTTTACTGTTTTAGAGGTGCATTTTGTATGATATACATTAACTATTTGAGTTACAGTGCAATTAGTCATATATTGACTGTTTCAGATTCAGTGCCATAGTTTACTAGTGTTGTTACCTGCTCTAGTGTCACTACATACTGTTTCAGATACAGTGTCAGTGTTTACTGTTCATTATATACTGTTTGTGATACAGTATAAGTGTTTACTGTTTCACATACAGTGTCAGTGTTTACTGTTTCAGATACAGGGTCTGTGTTTACTTTTTCAGATACTGTGCAAGTGTTTACTGTTTCAGATACAGTGTTAGTGTTAACTGTTTCAGATACAGTGTCAGTGTTTACTGTTTCAGTTACAGTATAAGTGTTTAGTGTTTCAGATACAGTATAAGTGTTTAGTGTTTCAGATACAGTGTCAGTGTTTACTGTTTCAGATACAGTGTCAGTGTTTAGTGTTTCAGATACAGTGTCAGTGTTTACTTTTTCAGATACAGTGTCAGTGTTTACTGTTTCAGATACAGTATAAGTGTTTACTGTTTTAGATACAGTATAAGTGGTTACTGTTTCAGTTACAGTATAAGTGTTTACTGTTTCTGATTTAGTGTCAGTGTTTACTGTTTCTGATACAGTGTCAGTGTTTACTGTTTCAGATACAGTGTCAGTGTTTACTGTTTCAGATACAGTGTCAGTGTTTACTGTTTCAGATACAGTGTCAGTGTTTACTGTTTCAGATACAGTATCAGTGTTTACTTGTTTACTATTTCAGATCCAGTATCAGTGTTAGAGTATGCACAGCAGATTCAGAAGAAGGCACATCGTGTTGGAGATCTTGAGATAGAAAACAAACAGTTGAGGGAAACATTAGATGAGTACAACCACGAGTTTGCTGAAGTGAAAAACCAAGGTATGACTGTAATACATGTAATTGGAGTAAGTTTACTAACTTTTAAACATGATTATATAAATTGAACCATATTTGAAATTTTCAATTTCAATTTTAAAGCTTTCAAGAAAATATGAGGATAACATGTTTAACAACCTTTACTAAGCAAAATATCTTAAATGGACTCTTTAAATCTGGACAAAACCATTCATCATTTTTAGGGAAATTTTCAAAATAAGAACTGGCTGAATATCGAACAGTGTAGACCATGATCATACTGCACGGATGTGCAGGCTGGTCTTGGTGTAGCACTGGTTGCATGGGGTAGATTCAGTTGTCGCTTGCAGGGTTAATTAAACTTGTAATGTATAATGATTTGCTTTTATCTTATTTATATTTGTGTGTCTCAAATTGTTGTGGAATTGTTTTGTTCTTGATGTTATTGTAAACAGTAAGCTCCCTACGAAGGAGGTCAAATGTTCGTCCTAGGATATTAAGACTCTCAGATGCTCCTGGTACATGTATTTGAACTAGTGAACCTGAAGTAAAAAATGTTATACTTTTCATATTGAGTATAAACTGGAAAAAAATATGAATAGATGACAATTGCCTTTGTAGATAAATTAAATCACCATTATTTCAACAACAAAAAAATTGACTAGTAGATGTATTTGCTCTGTTTTGATCTTAATTTGTATTTACAACAAGATTTAGAGACCAGTTAGAGAACAGGGACTGTATAATATCTTTTTCTTGTTAGTAAAGAAATTTTTTATGGCTGACAATTTTTCCTATGACTAACACATATTTGATATTATAGGATGAAACAATGTCATACAATAGCCTTTTCATGAATCTGATATTTTAAGCATATAATAAGGCAATGAGGCATTTTGCATGCGCTGATAAAATACCGTTTACAATCTACAGAGTGAATTAGTTACGATTGATTTGAATAAGAAAGCTATTCCAGCATTGAAAATGATAATCATTTGTACAATAATGATCCATGTGACATTTTCAGACAGATTTTTCCTCTGTAAAAGCCCATTGATTTTTGTCAATTGTTTGCCATAAATGATCGGTGACAAATTTTGACATTTAAACCAGATTACTGTACACAGGAACTGCCCCATTTGTTTCAGTTTATTATGATCGAAACATTAAATATGACATTTGGCGAATTTTGGAAAGTGTATAATTTGATGATCAAGTGAGAAATATAAAAGTTCATGTGTTATTACAGTTTGGCAATGAATTGATAAATTTTCCAGTTCAGCATTGTGTGAAAATGTTTCATCTCCAACTGGCGTTTATAGTTCATTATTACAGCCTTTGTCTAGTGAACCTATTTTGCAAGATTTACGACTAAATCTGATGGCTTCATTGAATCCCAGACTTTTATGAAATACTGTATTTCATATCAGTACAAGGGAGGTAATCAAATTATGTAAAATGTATTTTATACACAGTCTGCTATATTGCCTGGTACTTAAATGTACATGATTATTCTGAATATATTCAAGTGACCGAGTTATGAACGGTATTGTCTTGCAACTGAAAAAAAATTGATTCACATTTTTATAATAAATATTAAAGGATCATAAACTTGCATTTTGATAAAAAAAATCTACATTTGTATTTTCTTAAGTGAAATGTGTTTTTTGTGTAAACTGTTGCAAGATTTTGAGTTTTTTTAATAGTTCTTTCCTTTTATCATCACAGATGAGAGATGCATTTCTATATCCTACGTAATAATTTAAAAGTTTGTATTGTTAAAATGTCAGTTTGATTAAGATATGCATTTAAACAAAAAAAAATGAAATATAGAATGAAAATGATAATTTATATATAACAGTGACAGTAAAATCTCCTTGAGGAAATATATTAAGTTTCGGGCTATCACTGAATTGATGTGGCGTTAACACACTAGACAGCTGATTTGAGAAAGTTTTGTCGTAGGCTGTTTTAAGATGATTTTTTTAAAAAAAAATTTTTTTTTTTTTTGTTGTCGAGGGATCTTCAGACTGGTTAAAGATGATTTGTTTTGGGAAGTTTATCTTTTGTATTTTAGTGATAATTAAATTGCTTTCATTATCGGTAATTTATAAAAAAAAAAAAAGAAAAAAAGTGTTTTGCCTATTTCAAGTAATAAGAAAAAAAAAAAAAAAAAAAAATGAGTACTCATTTTGAATATCAAACCTTAAATTGTAATAGAGGTTATACTTGAAACTATTGTTATCAGTCTAGATTCTGATTGGTTTATTTATTCTCCTTCATTTTGAAATTATCCAATGATATCACTGCATATGGAGACTGGTACCAAATTAAAAAAATAAAATAAAAAGAAATGGCCTGTGTTCTTAGATGTGAAAAAGCTACAGATGTATTTTTGTAAGTCATATATGATACAATCTCCCGATGGTCTACAGAAAAACTGATTACAGGCACCTCAACGTTGAGAGTTAGTCTTTCAGTTAATGGAGAAAATATGCAATTGCTGGACCCTCGAGAAATCATTTATAGATTTCTGATGTCATCTTTCCCCGATAAAAGATTGCAGGAATAAGGAAAGGGATTTCTTTAATGAAGACATGGGGAAAAGATAGACTTAACTCTTCCAGGAAGCTTATGTCAATTTGTTTTTTTTGTTGGTTTTTTTTTTTCAAACAATAGGAAGTAATGACCAATGAAAAGGAAGTTTGTTTTGTTAGAGGGAAGTACTGGTAGGTTTCTTTTTCTCTATAATCTAAAATTGCATAAGCACACACAAAAAATGGCCCTAAATGGAATTTCATGTTGAATGGGTTTTTCTCCTCTTTGATACTATATTGGTTAATGTTACAAAGTCACACCTTTTATTCTTTTTCTCTGACCCAGTATGAACTTGTAAGACTTCAAAAACAGACCATATAATGATCTCCAATATCATAGAAAACAAAAAGGAAAAAGTAATCGGCATCATAAAGGGGGATATTTCAGAAGGAATCACAAGTGTGAGATGATATTGTAATATGATTTATTGTCAAACAATTGTATAATGACAATAAATGCCAGGGTATTGTGTAATAACTGTTTGTATTGGAATGAGTAATTGGCAGGACAGATTCCTCAGAAACCAGGTTACTTTTTTTTTTTTTAAACAAATAAATGGATTTTTGAGCAAGAGATCATGACTATTACCTGGTCGTTCTAACAGAGCATGAAAAGAGGATTGTCATTATTTTCCTTGACTTTTTTACGCTTCATTTTGTTTACTCTTCATTTTGTTTTTCCCCCCAATTTCATTTTTTAAGACCATGCATTTATTGGTTCTGCCTTAAGTAAATCAGTGTCGTCAGTCACAGACAAAATCTATTGTAACGTAATTGATGTAAACTAGGTTATACTTCTTCAAAATATCTAGATTTTAGTGAAATTACTGATTTTGTGAGCATGATTTCTCCGTTACGTTGTTACAGACTTAGCGATAAACTTAGTCATGTGACATAAACTCTCACTCTCTGTCCCTCACGCTCGCTCTCGAGAATTTCTGCTAAGACTTAAAATTCAACACATCGTAAATATGGTAACGAAATACAACCAACTCGATTGTTACTGTTGTTAAAGTAATTAATATTAAAACCGGAGCTATAGCGATATTTGAATCTGTATTTTCATGCTCCTTCAGAAATCAATAGTATCTAGTTAACAGGTTTTCGTACATATAGACAGGTTTCGTATATATATGTATATTGTACATTGATTTTTATCCACATTTCATATTGATCAAGAAATTAATATAAAGTCACCAGATGCAGGAACTAGATAAACTAGTATATATTGAATAGTTAAATTAGAGGAAAAATATGGGAACCAGTCAACTAAAAGCATTATTTGCTAGTCGAATTTATGTGATATATTTCGTACGGTAGGATAGTTTTGATAAGCTTTTTTCTTTAATTTAATTTTTTTTAAACTTTTTATTAAATTATGCTTATACAGTGAAAAAGAATCTCGACTAAGTGATAGGGGTTTTGGTTTTCTGAGTGTGACAGTTTTACTGTCACATGCAGTAAGGTATCAAAAAGTTTTGGGGTTTTTTTTGTGTGTTACTGGATATTTTTTGTTTGTTTATAAATGTTAAATATCATAAGCTTGAAGTATAGTGTTTTAAAGTGTAAAAAATTAGTTATTAAGATATATAGACCTGTCTATAGATACTGGCAGTATGGGTTGTTAATATTAAATGTATATATGTAATGTATATTTCAGAGGTGACAATAAAACAGCTCCGGGAACGATTGAAAGAAGGAGAAGACAAGGTTGAGGCTGTAGCGGAGGTATATAATATCCAAATTTGGTTAATACTTAATATACATCTACGATTATTTAACACTAAAAATACGAAAAAATTGAGCTACCAACAGTATAACGTTTTGGTCAGGCTTTGAGACATATATACAGGCTGGTTTGGCTCTGTACTGTAGGCAAAGGTTAATCACTTTTAATCAGTGTTCATTCCAACTTTTTTAAGGGTAATACAAATTATGTCATAAGTCAATGACAACATTTTGACAAAAGAAAAAAATACTTTGAATATCAGAATTCAGTATCTGTGTATGATGTGTAAAAGTGAAGGATATTAAAATAGTTTGCAGCTTGCTTTGTGAAAGGTTGGTGGTTCTTCTCACGTGGTTTCTTTAGCCGTACATTATGCATAATGTTTGAATGGTCAATGAAGGTATTCGGCCATCAGTAAAGCTTGAAAATCACCATATTACTGTCTGTTCTATAATGTCTGTCTGACTTAAAACCCAACAATAAAAAAACATATATATGAGCGATGGTCGAAAAACCACATAAGCGTTTGCGACAGCATAGATCTAAGACAGCTGTGCATTCCATTCAGACTTAATTCAGGGGTCCAATTGCTTGTCAGCTTACAAGTCACCAGTTACAGATAAACTGACCAGAATTACATTGCATGGATTCCCTGATACAGTTTAACGCGCGTTTGCCCCCCAGCTGGTCTCTGGTGAATCCATTCTGGCCCAAAGCACTATGTTTGAGAATTTTGTTAAGTGACCAGCGGCCTCATACATATTAGAAATTTTTTGATTGAAGAAAAAAAAACGAATATAATACCAGAGTATAAAACGGTCAAAAGTGAGCATTGTCTCATTTCCACATTAGACTAAATCATTATACGAAATCACGCAATATTTTTTTGAATTTTTTCTGTTTGTCAATTTGCTGGACAAGGCGGTCACCTTGTTTACGAGTGTGTTTTTATAAACTGAACACGGAATTTAATCATTTTCTGCTTCATGAGTATCTAAAGTAAAATAACATTGTTCATGTAACTCTTCACTAAATGTGGCCACAAGAATCACCTGTATAATGACCTTTACAAAACTTTACATGTTATGTCACTCATTTACAAGACAATTTATGCATGATCTTTTTTCCTGACCTTTCTTGGTTTGTTAAAAATGCGACAGTTTCTCATTTTATTCAAGTTTATTATCATGCTAAGGCTTAAAACACACAAAAAACTTCAACTTACTGGGTTTTTTTTACCAGATGATAAATTATATGTAAGATTATACCTTATAAAATAATGTATATTCATAATATAAACTTAGCAAAAACTTAATTCGTTCTATGTCATCAAAATAAGGAAATGGAAAACAAAATTTCAGATTTCTAAAATATATAAAAATCCAAATGGCTTATTTTAACAATGTTCAACTCTTCCTTTTCTGAACACCAATTATATGATGTTTAATTGGAATCTTGTTGTTGTCTTAATGAAATCTTTATTTTCTAAACACAAATACATGGTGTTTTGTTGAAATCTTTATTTGTTAATGAAATCTTTATTTTCTAAACACAAATACATGGTGTTTTGTTGAAATCTTTATTTGTTAATGGAATCGTTATTTTTTAAATATAAATGTACGGTGTTTTGTTGAAAACTATTTTCTAAACACCATTTTCTAAGCACTAAATATATGATTTATCTTTATTTTTTGTAATGAAATCTTTATTTTCTAAACACCTTATATATGATGTTGAGTTGATTTTTTTTTTCTGAAAACCAAATATTTAGTGTTGTTGAGTTATTTTAATTCTAATCATCAACTACACTGTATATGGTTTTCAGTTGAATTCCTTTTTATCGGAACACCAAATATATAGTGTAGAGTTAAATTAGTTTTGCCCTTAGTAAATACAATAACATTTTTGAAGCATTAATTAAGGCGTTATATTGTTAAGATATGGATAAATGACCTATCTAAAATACGTGGGGAGTATACCTCAATAAGCCAGTCTGATGTGTTTGGTTATAAATCTACCTTTGTTGATCATACTGTGTGTTGAACAGTTACAAATTGATTTGAGTTGTACCCTTAGGTTAAAACAATGACACTTGAAATATAGCAATCCTGTTCACTAATTGCTCGAAAAAACATTTAACTTCAACCGTACTGTCATGCTAATTAGTGCAAATTGATTCACACTTGTGCCCTGCTTCAGCTACATTCCTTCACCCTAATCACTTACCATTTTCAAAACAGAACAGAATATAATATGAAGTCATTACATTTCTCAGTTTATTATTTATTTTTTTTTTAATTCATTATCAAGATTGTGTTTATTTTTTATTTACAATTATTAAAAATAAAGTTGTGTGCTTCAATATTTATTTGTCCTGCAAGTTCTTTTCCATTCAGTTACAGAATTACAATAAAAAGAATGGAAACACAGTACTCTGTGAACAAAATGAAATATTTTTACAATTTTTAACATCAATCACATTCTGTTCATAGATAAATAAAAGAGCATTTCTCCTTTCTATTACATCTGTCTAAAGTATGTTTAGAGAATTCTCTAGGGTCATACAATTTACACAAAAACACATGCCGTTGATGGTTTTCCATCATAAATAAATTTTTCAGGTTATGTGACCAAATTCAAGCTAACAAGACATTTAATAGGAATGATTCTCTCTCTAGAGATTTGTACATACATTCACCTGTATATTGACATGTAAACTTTAACACTCCCCTTGTGGCTGAGGGTTTGCATTTAAGTGTTGTGGCATCAGAATTGCAGCCACCATGTATCCATGTATGCGTGATCGTAAGAGGCGACTAAATGGGTCCATCTTACTTGAGTCTATGCATCTATGAGGTGAAGGGTTTTTACCCCTGGTGTTGCTGTAAGTTTGTAATACCTGAGGTTTACTGGTTAGCCAAAAACATCTTTCCTGTTTTGGCGCCATATCATCTAAATTGTGTTGGTGCGCATAAAGTCAACCAAAAAGAACTCCAAAAAACAAATACAGTTAACACAGTCATATTAATACAAAGTTTGAATTTTGAAATATCGGCAAGATAAGCATGAACTTTCAAAAATATTGAAAATGCTTCATAATTTTTAGTCTCAATCTTTCTGTTTAAAAGCATGATATGCAGCAATGGGCAAAAAATCTTTTCTAGAAAACAGTTACAATACGGCCTTGTCAGTTTGTCGGTTTTTGAGTTGAGATACTATTGCCTTACAATTATTTAAGTAATTTGCAGCGCATACATAAAAATTATGTTTCTTTTTTTTTTCATTGATATGGCTTTTGGCTAAAATGAATTATGTGTTAAGCTTTTGTATGTAAGATACGGCAGTTTAACATTTTATATGTGCGAATGAAGTATACTCATTTGTCAAACGCCAAATTTTACCTGTTAGCAGACGACATCTAGAGAGACAATGAATTACATCTATATGGTGTTAATTCTTTGATACTGTTAAACAACGAGAACCAGTCATGCATGACTGATTAATTTTGGACCAGTCAACTAATCAGATGACAGTTTGGAGAAGAAGGGTGGGATTTAAGATCAATGCGTCTCTTTGACATTGATGAGCTGTGTCAATGACAAGCTTGATTGTTTCTTTACGATACTTTATATCACACGTCCTGACCATAGATCTGTAACACCTTGTTTTAGGCAGACATAATTGTATTTATCGACTAATTTCACATATGAATGAAGGAGGACTATTATCAAATGTGTTTTAAATTTAGATTTAAATTATTTTATTAATATATAGGGAATGAATTCAAGGAGATTCATTCGTATTTGAAAAAAAAAGTAATTTCGTATATGATTTCTGTAATTGATCATTGGTAATTGGAGTCCATCAAATTTTTAAGGCTCGAACGAAAGAAAAAGAACGGGAACTGCAGAAACAGTTTGCGGAGAAAGAGCGTCAATTACAGGAAACTCAACTTTCTGTTGCTAGGAAACTCGGAGAAGCTGAACAGAGGGTTACAAGTTTGACCAATAGTACGTATACATTTTTATTTTGATGCAGTCATCATAATATTTTAATGATTAAAGTCGGGGAGAATTGAGATTTTGTTTTTAGAATGTTTATATGGTGAACCAAAGCTTCAGTGACGGAAACAATATTTTTTTTATTTAAAACCTAACAAGTATGGTTATGATCTAGCTTAGGAAAAAAATATTTTGAAAAAAGTTTGATTATAATAAGAGAAAAAGACACAAAATAATAACAAACAACTTAATTGGAATATATCAACGCTTATTTTTTGTTAAAAAAACAAAACAACATGGTCAGTTCTGTAAACATGGTCAGTTCTGAAGGGTTAGAAATTGATAACTTATCAGTTAAACAACGACCAAATATATTCTGATATTTTTGTTTTGTTAAAAGAATGGAATTTTATTTTTGTGTCCCATTTACTTAAAATAATTATGAATATCATTTTGAGTGCTTGGCAGCATTACTTTAACACTTAACCATCTTAAATGGACTTGTCTATCTTTTATTCTGGACAAAACTGTTTGTTATTTTAAGGGAAAATTAAAAAATATTAAGTGATTGAATAGCAAACACTGCCGACCATGATCAGACAGTCCAGAAAGGCCTGCTGATCTTGGTCTGCCCTGGTCACATAGGTACAATCAATCGCCACTACCAGGCTAAGGGTACGCATATACCAATATATCAGGATATTTCAGTTTATCTGGAGTCCATACCCAAAGCTTGATGGATTTATTATGTTGATATAAAAATCACTGAAACTGTTAATGGACCGTTCTAAATCCATAAAAGGACAAGTCTATTACACTAATACAGCAGGATCCAAAATTCTCTGAAAAACAAGTAGTTATTTACAGTAAAACACTTCATATACTGGCAATGAAGACATTCTAGTAAATTGCGTAAAACCTTTTACTACTTATGGAAACATCAAGGCACTTTTTTTCAAATAGTAATTTTTGGAGTTTGCGAGATTCACAAAAAATGAAATTATTTTGTTCCTAAACACCGATTCTCATGAGGTTGAGCTGTTTTTGTATTTAAAATTATGATAAATTTAGAATGATGACAATTATTTGTGATCCGCAGATTTTGATAAATTCAGGTTACCTATCAAATCTTTGATGCAGAAATAACAGATTTACGGTGTGTTTAAAAAAATATATATTTACATATCTCGTATTATTCAACACTTTTGATTAATATTTTCTAACATAATAAATAAACACCATCATTTTTCATACCATGCTTTTAATTATTGTCCATGTTTTGCGGTTCTTCATTACGATTTTCTGTGGTCATGTGGCTATAGTCTTTCTAAAACACAACAAACAATAACACCAATTTTTTTGTTTTTTAAGTACAAATATTAAAATGATAATGTTACAAGACAAGCTTTCAACTATTTGTTTATATTTATTTAGTAGAAATAATTTATGATACAGTTGTATGTTTAGTAAGTCATATTAAAGTATAAGAATGTAAAATGCTTTGTTTTGATCAATCATCATTATAACACAGAAATTACTGATACAGGCAGTGACTGTTTAAACAAAATTGTTAAAAAATAAAATATTAACATAATAATATTCATGTTTAATTTGTTGTTGTTATCTTTATATTTTTTTCGGAACAGCATATTTGATTTTTGTTGGACAATTTTAGGTTTGAAAGGAAGCAGGGAGGGGTGTTAGCGTTCATAAACCTTGTGGAACTATTCCTTAGTTTTGTCTATAACCATAATTTATTCCAATGTAAAATTCAATGTATTTATGTTGTTTCATGTTGTGGTGGGTAGCATATTATAGATTCAAGATTTATTATAAATGGAGGCTGAATTTGGTATCTATGTTTATCTTTTTTAATAATTGTGTGTTAATGAAATGTTTATCACGCTGCATGCATCTGTTAATTATAAATGTAACCATGACTTCCTGTAATTAATTGATCAACAAAATACTGTCTATTTATTATGTTTGTATTAAAATGATTAAACATGTGCTATAGTCACACAGGCTTATTATGAATTAAAACAAATTTGGTTTAAGATAATTAAAATGTGTTCTCATTTAAAGACACAGATTTGGTGTTAAAAAGAATATATATAGAGTGAGGGGAGGAGGTAGTGGGAGAAGAAATGGGGATGGTGGGGGTGTTCAGCTTACGGGACTGTAGAAATTGAATTGTTAGACAGTATTTTGATTTGAAGAAGTTTGTTTTTTTTAGTGATTGAAAAAAATCACTTCTTTTTATAAAAGTCATTGCCATATTCATAGAAATATCAATGATTCAAAATAACAAGATTATAATTTATTATTAATGAAATTTATTTAAGAAAATGAGAGATTCTAACAAAGGTGCATGTTTCCCTGTTTAATACCAATAAATGTTCAATTAAACTTGATACAGCTTGATTGACACAAATACTGTCAAATATCAATATTGTTTTGTCCCCTTTCATCACATTTTTGTCAAATTTAAATAATTTTGTATTCTTTTTTTCCTTCTAAAATTGTGGTTAATTGTTAAAAGTCTTGAAGTATTTTTTAGTCTTCTAACAAGTTTTGTAATATTATGTTGTGTTTTAATATACACTTGTATTTTTATTTTTTCAATCATTCGAAGAATTTATTTTGTTTTTTGTCATTTTTTTGGTCCAAAAGAAAATTAAGCCATGGTGATATATTAAACTGAAAGGATCTTGCAATATAAATTGACTGATACCCATGTAATAGAAATGATTTTATTTGATTTTTTAATTTGTTTGTAATGTTAATTTTAAATGTTGTCCATCAGAAACTGAAATAGAATCATGAACTACTTTTTTATGTTAAAGAACACTGGATCTATTTTTCTGTGTATTCATACACTGACAAGTGATTTAGTCAGATACAGTGAATAGGTTATTGTTTTGTCTTAAACATATTGTTTATATTGACTAATTGATTTTTGTACAAGAGACAAATTTGACAGGGCCAATTGAAATAATATGATTTAATAATCAGCATGGAGTGTGACCCTTCATCGTACAAGTTTTCTAATACTACTGGCCAATTGACAATGGATTGCCCGAGGCTGAGGTACTGCTGTGGTCTGTACGCAGGACAAATGACCATTGACAGGGACTGTCTATTTAGTGAAGGAAACTGACCGGTAAATGTACCTTACATAGACAGTTTGTAATATTGATAGATTAATCATCAGCTCATAGTAAAGGATGATGCACTAGGAGGCGAGCTGCAATTAATTCTCTTTGTTGATGCGGGACCAATGCAGTTTTAAATTACAATCAAACTTGTGTTGTTCTTTTTTCATTATTATTATCTGACTGTTAATATACAAAAAATATGTCTTTAATTTATTATGAGTTAAGTTTTATTCATGAACTTCTCACAGAAAGAATTTTTGTTCATTAATTTTACAGATAGAATTGGGTTTTTTTTTTAATCATTGGGATTTTGCCATATGTACACCATGCAATCTCCCTCAAAGGGAAAAGAAAAATTGTCATGATGTTTTTTCCTGCAAGAGATTTATGTATTTAATTTATAGAAGTTTCTTATTTAGTGAACATAAGACTTTTCAGGATCAGCTGTTGTAAGTCATTTTTAGATTGAAAGCTTTGTACGTATTAAGATGTTTTAAAGTGGTTGATAGCCTTGTTAAATTGTGTACTAAACTAATTGTTTCGGCCCTCAGGGGGAATTATTTTTTAACAACGTCGGTCACACTTCTTTCATTATTAAATGGCCAATAACTGTCAAATTGGATCAAATACGGGCATCGCCATGTAGAGATGGTCATTTATCTATTTAAGTATGATTTGTCATAGATTGAAACTCCTTGCCTCGAAGTCATTGAAAGGGTGTGCTATATCATCGTACTGTCGTCTAGAAACGTCCTTTGACCAGTTTAAAGTTTCGTATTTTGGCACTTGATAACTAATGAATTCTGTCGTACAGTAACGTTAATTGTTATTTATTGTTTATATGTGAACTTGATGTATCTATTATTTTGTTGATCTATGCGATGGAGTAAGAATTATTTTTGTTTTTGCGAAAAGTTTTTATATACTAACACTAGTATCCATAAATCACGTTTAGTCATGTTATTTTTAGATGTTGAAGTTACAGAACACATGTTTCAAAAAAAAAAAAATCTTATTCAGGAAGAAAAATATACGTCTTATATTTTTTCTTTTCTTTGTTTTTTTTTTTTGTTTTTTTTGCTTGCTTTCATGGTATTGTAAAATTAATGATATTCTTGTTTCAGCTTCTTTCTTTTAAAAAGAATTTACCCCACCGAGGACAAGTGTACGTTGTTCATACAGAATATTTATAAAAGATGTCATTGTGTGTAAATTGCATAAGTAGGTCAAACAAATTTTAAAAAATCTTCAAGAAACTTAAAATTGTAAATAATTGTATGAATTAAACTTTAATATTAACGTGTATGAACTTTAACGTTACTCATTTAATAATCACCTCAAATTTTTTTTAACTTTGGATCATTATATATTTTTTTTACGCACAAAAATAAAAATCCCCAGAAGATTAAAATTAAAACTTTTCCTTTTAATCAATATTTTTGCGTTTCAACACATCCTTCTGTTTTAAAAGGCAATGCACGGTTTATTTTGAGATATAAACTACGGGGAAAAGACAAATCTAAGCATTCCTGCACATGCTGCTAAAATGGATGGTTATATTATTGATGATTTATATTACATGATGAATCTGCGAGGGAAATCAAAGACAAAACGATAAAACGTTATGATGAAATTAGTATTCAGATCAGGACAGTGGATCAATAATTATTGTTATTAAGTTTGAAACAGTTCACCTGGTGAAACCAGCCCTATAGATTGATGAGACAAAATCTTCTTAATAAACTTCATTAAATAATTTCTCTTCTTCCCCCTTTTTTTTTTTTTTCGAAAAATTGTTAATGGAGATTATTATTATTGGTTTCTATGGAAACTAGAGTAGTGTAAATTAACACCAGTTGTAATATCAGGTCATTGATTTTGCTCAAGTTTTCACTCATCAAAGCCTGAATATTGAGCTTTTAATCTGTGATAAACTTCAGATCTGTATGATTTTAAAACAAGCATAGGCACGGGGAAAGTCTTTTTCTTGTTACGGGAACAAAAAGGGGTAGAAAAATTTGGATTTCAAAAATGAAAATTTAAGAGCAAGGCATTGATTTAAAATTGTTTGAATGACATTTAATTTCTGATTTTAATCCTCTTTGAATGATGAAATTGACCATTTATCAGCATCTTTTTTTTGGTAAAAGCTCTTAAGTAATATATACATACTAAGTAATTTGAGACTTGTTTACTACTTTATCAATACCATAAAAAATGACCATCCTAGTAATGATTATCTTTGATATCAATAACCCCTGGTATTCTTCACTGAATAACTTTATTTTTAGTGACTTCAGAATTAGAATTATATTCTCGGTTGAAAGTAATCCAAATATCAAGCATTTTATTGCAACAATGATACGATTTTAACCACTTTATTTCATATAGACCACTTGTGATTATGTGTATACATCTTCTGAATACTATGCCCATTACTTTGAATACTGTTGCCTTTTGAAAAACTTTGCTTATTACTTAGAACGTACACTTTTTTACTAACCGACTGATTAATTCATACAGATCCCTTTTTACTATATCCAAATTAATGAATGCAGTTGCCTTTTGAGCACTGCCTATTTTGCTTTATGCAGATGTCTTTCTGCACTGCCTCTTGATTTTGCAGTTGCCTTTTTAGCACTGCCTATTTTGTTCTCTGCAGATGCCTTTTGGGCAATGCCTCTTTTGATTTATGCAGATGCCTTTTTAGCACTGTCTCTTTTGATTCATGCAGTTGCCTTTTGACAACTGCTGATTTTACTTGAAAATAGACAAGTTATGACTATAATATGCAGATGTATTACTTCATTCAGGCACTCTACTTTGACTTTGATGTTATAAAGACTGTTTCATACATATGTGAATAAAATTATGAATATCCACATTTTTCCTCATTAAAAAGTTTTTCCAGATTGTGTGCCATTATAATAAACTTTAACCTTTTAATAATGCATAATGAACATCCTAATGCTGCCGTTAAAGAAAATAGTTACAACTTAATTGTACTTGAATCTCTCTTGAATTTGTTAAATAGAATCATCGTTAAACAAAAGATTAACATTATTTGGCCTTGATATTAGTTTTGAAAATTTCTATGATTGATATAAGAAGAAATGAGGCATTACCTAATGTAGACAAATGATCCATTTTTTGAGGAATTGCAAAGTTATGAATAAATTTTATTGATGAATTTGAACAAAAAAAAAATGAAACATTGTTTTTGTTGGGAGTTGTGATTGATCAGTTATTGCATGGCTTTGTGCAGGTTACGTTTTTATATTTTTAATGAGTTAATAATGTGTTTATTAATGATACAAATGTATTTAATGCAAGAACTAGTGTTATATATTTTATGAAGACACATTTTGTGATGATTTTTTACTTGTTTCCGTTAATTTTATGTGATTTTGAGTTATTCGGCTTTTGAAATATATTGTTATTGAGGCTGTCTCTTTTATCTAAATCAATATGCTAGTTTTATGTAACTTGTTTATAGATAGATAATTTGTTTATGTAAATGAGAATTGTAGCAAAATTGCAAACAAAATTCTTGTATTAGATAACAGATGGCCAATACAGTTTGTATATTAAAGCAGCACACCTCCAGATGTGTAAAATATATTATTATTTTTAAAAATGTGAACTTCAGAAAATTATAATTATGGTTTTAATAAATGTTTAAATATCTAGAATCCAGGTGAAACTTTGAGTGTATTATATGTGTAGTTAGCAAAATATGATATAAACTTTTATCTTTATCTATTACCAAAACATAAAATGAGAAATTTCTCAGTATTTTGACTAAGTTTTAGCTAATTTCTGTTCGTAACAATAGCTACGGTCAAATGACTTAATTTGTACACTTGGTAATATTTTTACACCTTAGAACACTCGTTAAAATTTTTGAAAAAAAATAACGTAAAACATGAGGTGTGCGGCTTTAATAAGGGAAATAAATAACTGTTAATATATAAATTTGTTACATCTACATATTTACATATTATCCATTACATATTTTATATAAATGAACACGTATACATGAAATTCAGAGTCTTATTTCATTTCATGGAACTGTGTTACTGGTATGTTAAGACATATAATTCTTACATCATAGTTGAATTTTAATTGCATTTTACCATCGATTAATGTTTAAAAAAAAATGTATTGTTTAAATATTTCCGGGATAGAAAACCAATACATAGTTAACAGTTGATCAATTGTTCCGATCAATTTAGAATTGATCGTTATTGCTCAATGATTGATGTTTTCAAAACCAACTTTATGTTCGATTACTTTTTGAAGCAATACTTAACTTTGTATAAATAATCTTAGTTTGTTAAAGTGTCACATATTTTTTTTGACTGTTTTGATAATGTAAATGATGGCGATAACCGCGATCTATCTATTTTTGATTTATTTGAAAAATTATAAATAAATAAAGATAGAGGTGAACAGGTAAAAGTCAATCAAGGCTGTGACATCTTGATTTTTGCAATTGATTAATTAGTGTGGTCTGTAATAAAAAAATATTAAGTTACAAAACCTAAAAATTGTTCAAGAAAAATTTAAAACTAAAAGTTATCATGCATTGTAATATGTTAGGTTGTTGCAGTTCATAAAAGAATTTTTTTATCAATTGGACTTGTCCAGATTATATTTTTGGAACTATCCATTATCAATTTCGGGGATATCAAGATGAAAAATTTGAAGTTTTTTCAGCCAACAATATAGAGCCTGCATGGTCAGACTTCAGGTAATTATGGGCTGGCCCAGATATATACTTGTGGCGTTAGGTTCAGTAAGGAAATGGTTAAATTCGGCGTTACTGTGGGCTGACTATATTGATATGTCTTGATATCGCCGAAATTGCTAACGGACAGTTTCAGAAATAAAAGCTGATAAATTCCATTTAAAAAATTCATTAGATTAAGGTTTGTAAATATTTCTCATTGTTGGCAAGTTTTATTTTAAAATTCAGGTATTTCTCAATGTCTTTAAGGAAATGCATGTAAGAAATCGGGTTATAATCGCCAATTAATTTATGTTACAGATAACTTAGACAGTTCCCCTACATTATTGAGTCAAAGGTCATGCAAATAATTCACTGTTTTACATAATATTTGATGTTGTCCAACCAGATGCCGGCTTATACTATTTGCACACACACACAAAAATGCAACAGGCTATAATTTTGCATAAAATAATTAATTGCATAACAGAATTCTTTCTGCTGTCACTTGCGATGACAAGTGGAGTGTTCATTTGAAACTTAAATGCTTTTAGATAAATTTTCTGCGAGTATTATTAATAGATTGTCAACAAAATAGTATTCGTAGGGAACAATCGGGGAATTAAGTATTATATAATTAATGTCAAACAGTGTTGTTTTTTATCCTTTCTACGACTCAAATCCTTGCCTAATTTATGACATCAGGAGCACGTAGGTTTACAATTAGATTTTAGTTCTATGACATTTTCATTAATTTTGTAAGTTTTCACGAATATTTTCATATTTCAACATCGAAATTGTCAAGGAAAACCCATATTTTGTATAATCTGTCATTTTTTAAACATATTCATGTGATTTTAATGTTAAGATGAATGTGATAGAAACAACGTTACATTTTATTGGTAATGCGGAAAAAAAATACGTTGTCCCCGTCTTAGTTGTATAATATAGCTTCACTTATGGCTGTTGACAGTATACATTTGTTATTTAATTGTTTTATTTTATTTATAACTTAATCATATGGATTTATCTGTCTCTATTTCTGTTATTGTTGGTTTTTCCCTTTATTATATTAAATCGCATCATGTAAATTCACTTTGAGGAATTTATATAAAAAATGTCTTTCTTTTATTTATTAATTCTTAGAAATAATTAGAGGGAAATATTGAAATACTTTCATTTCTTTTAAAATCCAATTAAATATTTCATTGTTTTAAAGCAGAGATATATATCTTCATGTAATAATTACATGTACTAGCAGTTTATAATAGGAAAAACCCAACTCATACATGTCTACTTTGTACCTGTTTTTTGTTGTCTTCTCACGCCTCGCAGAAGTTATAAACTATATGCAGGATGTGGTATTGAAAGTAGCAAGATTGTTAATATATTGTTTACAGATATAAACATCAGTGGACATCTTCCCTTTCTATACTTGTGTAGTAAATAACACCAGAAGAAAAAATTAAAATCTTGTATTTCATGTATTTAATAACATTATTAAATGTACGCATTTTTTCTTCTATTTTTAGCATTAGAGCATGTCCAATCAGAGCTGTTTGAAGTCAAGGCAAAATATGACGAGGCCACCTCAGCCAAGTAAGTTATCTCCCTTTCTGCATGAAATCCAGTTTAGATTAGTTATAGATATTTCCATTTCTGAAATATTTTAGAAACAAAAACATGTCTCTTTTGTATGTAAAATTACACCTACACATTATTATGATATTAGATTTTGATAATTTTAATTGAAACAACAGTGAGTTTTTTTTAGACATTGTTGGCTTGTATTTAATTATAAGGGGTAAATAAAACACCATTTCTGAGAAAACGTATGTCTTTAAGACCCTTTTTTGACAGATTTATTTATTATATATAAAATTGCCAGTGTATTATATAATAGTATGTATAATAAAGAAATAGATGTTCATGTACAAGTTTAGCTGTAAAAATTGCAATACTAGTATGTATATTTATTGAAAAAAATCAACGTATACCAGTATGTAGAATAACGATTGTATAGCAGATATATCTTTGATATGTTTCGTAGATAAGTGAAGATTTTCTATCGGCAAAAATCGATATCAATATGTCGCAAATTTGTCACCATATTCTCTAGAAGATTAGGTTGTAAGTCAGGAAGACAATGCTTGGCACAGCTGCTGATCTCGATCAATAGAGGATTTTTAGTGCTTTACCGCAATACAATACATCGCTTATGGATCTTTATTGAACCAAAAATTGACATTTTGTCGTTATACAATGGAGAAATTGTATGGATTTTTATCCGTAAAATGTAGCATCTACTCAAGGAGCTCATCGGAAACCAGCTATTGATCTGTAGTGTTTCGGTAACGTTCGGTAACAGCGAATGTTCAAAATTGATTCCTACAATTCCATTATTGAACAGGAACGTGATCAATAAATTTGGGACAGAGAGAACGACTCCTGGGAGAAATTAGTGTTGGTAATACAATTGATTAGCAGGCAGTATTGATCATCAAACGATCAATGCAATATTTTTTGGACAGAGTCTGTTCAATCTATAAAAGCTGGTTGACAAATTGATAAAAGAACCATTGATTAACTGCAGTATAAATTAGGAATGATTGAGCATTTTGAGAGGGCCAAAGTATTGCTAATCTAAAAAAAAATGATAAAAAAATTCTTGAAAATACTTTTCTTTGAGTATTCTTATTTCCATTGAAACAAAAATGCATTCTGATTAAGGGTCCTTTTAAACTCTCATTTCTCTCAAATTTGTTGGAATATGGCATTTAATTCTAGGCTTAATGAGGATCCCTTTCAAGCACTGAGAGTATGGATTCCAATGGAATATGGCAAAGATTTTGAATGCTAAATACAAATTCATTAACTCAAGCTATACATTTCTATGAGAGTATTTCATTTTCAGCATATAGATCTATATAAAAAACATCAAAAAATTATTTTCTCTTCTCGTCAATAAGAAAATACAAATAAAGATGAGAAAGAGAGTATATAATAATTGAAGATACCTGACGAGCTCTTTAGTATTCTATTGACAATTATGTGTGACATTTATGATTGGTCACCGCTAATTGGGCAAAAGAAATGTCTGAACGTTATCAATAACGTGAGTGATTTTATGATCCATCAATCAAACATATACTTTATAGACAGAAATTGGGTATTACCACGTTCTTTATGGCGTGTTTGACCACACATAAGTGCTCTTTTTGCCATTTTAATATTTTATTTACACCAAGAAATGGCTTGCTTTTATCTGAAAATTTTTTGCATGTTTTTTTTCTTCTTTTTTTTCACTGTGTATCATGATCAATATTAAGTAATGACTGATAAGGTAAAACTTACAAATGATACTTGTCTGCAAGATTATTCTAGTTCAAAATTCTTCATGAACCAATTTCTTCAGAATAAGAATATTTTAAGCCAAAAATATCAGAGCTTATGAAATTAGTTAATATTTCACAGTTGATGAAAATTTTTTGAAAGGTGTGTTGAATATCAATTACCAAAATTTATGCCACTGCACTATTTTGAATCGTAAAACTAAGATACGAAAGATATATATTATAATTCAAACATGGGAATCTAAATGGTGATAATTACTTTGCCCATGTCGCCAGTATATCAGAATACCAGCAGACCATATCCATGCAGCCAGACCAGGCTCTATACTGGTGTATCATTAGACAACATGTACATCGATGCCGTTGGGCCAGGCACTATATTTTTGGTGTTGTATGCCACTAGTGTATCGTTAGATAACCTGTACATCGATTTAGTCGGACCATGCTCATGGGGGCCGATATCAAAGTGACCCTCATGTTTATAAAACCCCCTTATATTAATAATGGACAATTCTATATCAAAGCAGGACAAGTCCATTATACACCAATTAAGCATGGTGGAGGTTAATTAAAACAGATCTGTAGCCAGCGTGTAAAGACAATGAACGTTTTGTGCAAATCTCCAAGGCTAAACTGACATTAATGATTTCTATATTGAGAAGTTATCAATAAAAATATTCATTCATATCTAATAAATATGTTGACAAGCTGGGGTTATACGTAGATGTGATGTACGGTTTGACAGGAGCAGAGTTTGACAAATATTGCTGTATACATGATATTTATATTAGAAGTTGATCTGATCTAGTTTATGTGTATTTTTTTAAAGGTTGCTTCAGTATTATATGTATATAGTTGAACAAAATTGGTTTAATATTGTCAGCAAAATGAAAACTTTTGATACAAAGTTTTAACGCTACAAGTATATTTACAATAAATTACTTACAGCATTATATTTCTACATTTTACCTATAAAAATAGTCAAAAAGGCAAAAATTAAAAGTTAAAAAAAAATTGAACAATGCATACAGTACCCATGTATTATGAAACTTAATTTGCAACTTTAAAGAATACCATCAAAGAAGTAACCAACAAAAGTTACCAACTGCAAATGTATTTTAATTACAGGAGCAATACATTTTATCTTGTCATTTTAAAAAAAGAATGTTTTTTATGTCATACTACAGACAAAGATTAAGCTGAAATGTTCTTGATGGACAAAAACGGTACATCAAAGTTTGATTATTTCAATATTTATTGCGGAAAATCAGTGTGCCGAATGTTTCACGCCTTTACAAACATTTTGAACATGTTGTACGTGAAATCTACCACTTCCGAGGGCCAATAAACATATCTTGTTATCTTTTCACGAACATGGTGTAAAAATTACATACATTAATCATTATTACCGTTAAAACTTTATTACGATGCTTTGAACAGAATCAGCGAATGTTCAAATAATTGCCGCTACATAACTAAAGCATTGAACTGAAGTATTGGAGCAGTTTATCTGCGCTGTTAACATTTCCTGTCAGAAACATAATCAAGTGTAACGACACTTGGCTATTGGTGTTGTTTAAACACGACATCATTTCTAGATGTTTGTCATGGCAAGGTTGCGATTTGAGACAAATTGTCGTCAAAAGAAAATCATTTTGGTTGTAAAGCAAACAGATGCCCGATCATATTATGAACATATCAGTGATTAAAGACCGGGAATGCATCAAATACACTGTTCTTGTCAGCTTTAACATCATATACGATGGACGTTAGACATCATGTGTTCAGTTTTTTACAAATATGTGGTTAGAAAAATTTCATTGATCTAAAAATTGTTGTTGTTTTTTTTCCTCTCATATCGTTTCAAGCATTGTATTTTTGAATGAGTAATGAATTTATGACAGTTTATGAACATTGTTATTATTATCAAAGCTTAAAGCATATTTCAAAGAGTTTATTTCTTTCTTTGAAGAAACATTTTTTGAGTTGAATTTAATGTTTGATTACATATTGTAGAACTTGTAGGAATTTGAATGGAAAAAAAAAATCAAAATTTCTTTTTAAAGTTTATTCATCAGTTTGTCATTATCATTATCATCAACATTATTATCATCATCATTATTATCATCATCATTATTATTATCATCATCATTATCATGGTTATTATCATCATCATTATTATCATCATCATTATCATCGTTATTATCATCATCATTATTATCATCGTTATTATCATCATCATTATTATTATCATCATTATTATCATTATTATTATTATCATCATCATTATCATCATCATCAATATCATTGTCTTCATCATCATTAATATTAACATTATCTTTACAAAAAATTAATGTGGTGATTTTAAAAAGGATATCTAAGTATATTTTACTACATTGTGTGTAGCATTTATGATAAAAGTTTATTTGGATATTAGATATTATTGGTGTTCAATAACTTTTCATGATTATGTATTGATTATTTGGGGTGAAACTAGACTATCTTTATTATTGATCTCTCTCTTGAGCCTTTGTCCTCCACTTTGTATTGACTTAGTAGACATTTTCTGCTAATTGGTTATGGATTATTGACAATCAGATGGCATCAAGTAATGGTATTCTCATCTAAATACTGATAGATTAAACGCTTTGTCTATGATCAATTGCTTGATACATTGATTAAAATTTTACAGAACTGATATTTATTGCATTGATTCAAGTAATTAATATTGAATTCTGAAGTAAATGATCAACAGTTTTTCACGCTGGATGGAGTAATTTAAATATTTGATATGTTTTTGAATATTGTGATTTTTTAAAAAGATTTGAAAATTTACGTATTAAAAAAATTTTTATTTGTTTAAGCATAAACAATAAATATATACAATACATTGGTTTTTGGGGGGTATTTTTCTTGGAAAAGAAAAACAGTGATTTATTAGAGAACTCAGTACTTCTGAGAAATTTATTTGAATTGGAACTTATTTCATAATAATTCCGTAATACGAGAGAAAATATGTCAGTGATTTTGTGTGTTCGTAATTTTGCCACTTGAATCGTCAAGCTGTCGCCTGACGTATTGGTGAATCCAGAGGCGATCATTATACAAAACTATCAATATTGGTTTCGTACAAAATATTGATTTTTAGTCATTTAGATGAGGGAGAGGGCGAACAACACTGTTCCATAAACGAACAGAAAAGATCTTGATGTGCTGATATAGACAGGAAATCAATTTGAAACGGATAAATTACAGACATAAACGCACATGACTTTGATTTTTTAATGCTAATACTTAATGGATTTTTGGATTAAGTCTATAAAACAGTGGATTTTGTTGAAGGATGCATAAAATAATCTTGCTGGAATTCTCGTCATTAGGGGGATATGGATGAAACGCGATCACTTTTACAAAACAGAACTTTGCTAATTGGAATAATATTGACCTGGTGACATAATGCTTTTGTTTGCCTTTAAGGACCTCTTAACTGACAGAGTGCACTTTGGTAAATAAGATTAATATTTTTATGTATGATTTAAGCGGAATGAAAATTGTACAATCAAACTTAAAAAAAAAACCTGACACAATTTTTCTTTTCGATGACACTTATAATTTCATAATTATGGACTTTCTTTTTTTTTTTGATTGCAGATGAAATTATTTATGATTTGATTGTTGCGTAATAAGGAAATACATAGGGGGGTATAAAAACTGGTACAAATATAAGATGTTGACTTGCAGTTTAATATTAATGTCAGCCTGGCTAAACTTGTACATTTAACATTGAGTAAAAATATGGAGTAGTTAAGGTCATTTATATTCTTTTACCTTTTGATACAACAGCTGTATTATAAACTAGATATAGATACAAAAAATCTTGTCACCATACATAAATAACTATCTAAGTGAAACCATAATGCATCTATTAGTAAGCTTTTAAAATGTTGACTTGTTATAAGAATATTGAATACCTGCTATGGTGTTCATGAGTTGTTCTCTGATACAACATTGGTTAAAGGGACTCTACTGAGTTTTTTTTTGTTGACATGACGAGGCTGAAAATAATTGTTCTATTTGTTATAGGTCCTGACATATGACTTTTATGCAAAATTTCAGATCATTCGCTCACACCGTTTTTCCAGAATAATTATTCCGATTTTGAAAAATGACCTAAATCGAAAAGTGGTGTCATGCTTTTCACTCAAATCTAGCTTAGAATAGCTAAATAATTATTTTTTCAGTTTATTTCTGAGTATATTTGTTAATTATCAATTCATCTTTCAGTTTGAAGTACCTCGACTGATGAATATAAGAAACTAAAATTTAAGTTTTTTTAGGCTTTTGAAGTTTAGTGGAGTCCCTTTAAACCATTCTCTATAAATAACAGATCTTTGCTAACATTATAGAGGCAGGCCAGTCTGTACTTCAAAACAATCCTATCACCTTCTGTAATGTTCGAAGACGAGCTTCTAAATCTTCATCAAGGTATCCTCAAAATAGCTAGTGGTTAGATCGGAAAAATGGAAACTGTATGAGTCCATTGAAATAAAAAAAAAATTTTTGAAGGGTTATGGTTGCATTGTAAGTTTACATGAATATTTATCGATATATGATAATTAAGAAATGTTAATGTTTGTATATTTATAGGGCAGATGAAATGGAGATGGTGATGGCCGACTTGGAAAGAGCGAACGAACGAGCAACAGCTGCGGAACGAGAAGCAGAAAAACTGAAACACCAGTTGAGTAACTTGACGGCAAGTTTGGCGGATAATCAAGGAGGGGAACAACAAAAAGGTCCAGACATGGAACAAGCTATTGAGATTCTTCAGCGGTCAAATCTTGAGGCAGAACTAGCTGCTAAGGAAAAAGAGGTATACCAAATGGTTTGGTCAGTCTTTGGTAACATGACCAACTATTTCGGTCTTTTTTGGTCTTAGTAATACGAATATAACTATTATTTCTTTGCCATACAATTTTTATTCTTTAATGTGTCATATTTCTGTAATTGATTCTTTATTTCAACAACAACCTGTTTTCATTTATTTTCTAGATTGTATTTTAAGTTGTTGCGTATGATTGTGAAACAAACATCAAAGTATACAATAGGAATGGCAAAATCATTTCAAATTTTTTTTATATTCATAGATAAGTCAGTTAGTTGAAGATGTACAAAGACTACAAGGCTCTCTACAGAAACTGCGTGAAAACACTACACAACAGGTAAGATAAGACATGCAAATATTGCGTGGATAATGATTCTATAATTTCTTGAACAAAAAAAAAATTCTGTCTCATTCAAGGCTAGCTGCAATAAGAACAAAACAATTATTGCTTTTAATGCTCGTTAATTGATAACAAAATGCTGAGATATGCAGCATATAATGTTGCGATGTTAGATAAACGTATACCTGTCCATGTTTCCCTGTCTCGCTAATTAAATAATTTTATCAATTAACAGTCAATAACAGATTATTTGACAGGTGGTGTCAAATAAATGATCAAACTCCTGACAGACCATGAATAATGCAACAGTAAAATATAAACTGCTAAATTCAGTATGCATGTGATTTCCATGCGAAATTAGTGCAAACATTGTTAAATGGAATAAAGATATTTGCGATAAATGAAGAAAAAAATTAAAAAAAAAAATTGATTAAGTGAAAAGGACTAATACTAACCAAAAAGTAAGCTTTAAATGATTTTTCACACCTTAAGTTTTTCTGGAATAATTATGAAGTATTAGTAAAATCTGTTTAAATGGAGTTGGGGATTACTACAAGATACAAAATGTTAGTATCTTTGTTACATTTTTAACAATGAAAACTTTACTATTAAAACAATTAAACTATAGCATGAGAATGTTAAGTAAATTTTTTGTTGAATTCACGTTTAGGTTGGACGTTTGGAGGAGGAACTTGCCTCTAAGAATAAGGCTTTCCGGATTTTGGAGGAGAAGTTGAAAACACAAGAGGACTATGAGGAAATCAAGCGTGAACTTGGGTATAGATTTTTATCCTATTAATAAATAATTTTCTTTAACCTTTCCACACTAAATATCATAAACAGACTTGTCCATCTTTGAATCTTGACAAACCAATCACCATTTTCAGGGAAAATGTCAAAATATGTCTTGACAGGATATCGAACAGTGCAGACCATGATCTTGATGGCAAGGATGCTCCAGCTAATCTTGGTCTGCACTGGTCACATGGATAGCTCTGCTAGTATTTGGATATTGATGTCCCACTAACTAACAATGGACAGGTTACAATATGAATCATGACTGATCTGTTGCTTAGATACAGCAGTGTTAGTATAAAACTGTATTGACATTGGGAATTTTGTCAAGAAATGTGACCATTACAGTTTTTGATAAATCAAGTATTGAAGTTAAAAAACAACTAAATCACATCATGGAGTTGGGGGAAAAACTGTAATAATGTATGTAAATGAAAAGATTAAGTGAAAAAAAGTGAAAAGATCACTTGATTTACTGTTATAAATTTCCATGATTTGTGTGACGAGCTGAATATTGATGTGTAACATTCAAATTTTGGTGAGTGAGCGTAATAAAAAATAATGTTTAAGTAACTATGATTTTTGTACGGGAACTGCTCGCATGCCAGTACAAGTTAATTTTGTAAACATTCTGTAGGCAAAACTGATAGGATGTCAAAAGTTGCCATATGACCTTTACAGTGAATGTTGACACATAGAATCCAACAACCAACCATTACAGTGACTGATCTTTTTATCATGATATATTTCTTTCACAGTGTCCTAAAGTCTATAGAATTCTCGTCGTCGGGAACGGATGAAGTAGATGGTGACGTTGGGAAGACAAAATCCTTGGAAATCCTCCTGCTGGAGAAGAATAAAACCCTTCAAACAGAAAACACACAGCTCAAAGTGAACTCAAATGACCTCTCAGGTAAGTCACATGTCACCATAGTTACAGTGTCTAGGTTCACTTATAGAATATTTGAACTTCAGAATAGAAAGAAAAAGGCTTGGAAAGTTTAAAAGTGGATCATATTATCAAAACTGATCTATAATTTTCCAGGCCTTTTTTTTTTTCGATGGGATATTAAAAATAAGTTTTAAGGTAGAAGCATATCAATTAAAGAATACAATATTTAAAGCTATAAACAAATGCTCTCTTTTTTTCCATGAAAAGTAGCATATTTTTTGCTTATACATAGTCATGTGCAATATAAATAAGAAATTCATTGTTTTGCATGGCTTAAACTGGGCATGGATTTCCAAATTGTTTTTATGGCATAGAATAATTTAAAGTTAGTTGAAATAAGATAAAATGAGAAAAATATGAATAAATAAAAATGAAACCTTATATAAATTTAGAATAGAAAAACATTTACACTTCTGAAAAAGCAATTAAAGTATACATCTGTGTAGGGAATTGGCCATTTAGTCAACATTTGTATTGGTAAATAGTCAGTAATGATTAAGTACAACTTATAGGGGTAAACAGCAAATTTGTAAACATTTTTAGTGGTAAACAGTCAATTTGTAAACATCTTTATGGTTAACAGTCAATTTGTAAACATTTTTATGGGTAAACAGTCAATTTTTAAACATCTTTATTGGTAAACAGGCAATTTGTAAGCAACTTTATTGGTAAACAGCCATTTTGTAAACATCTTTATTGGTAAACAGCCAATTTGTAAACATCTTTATTGGTAAACAGCCAATTTGTAAACATCTTTATTGGTAAACAGCCAATTTGTAAACATCTTTATGGGTAAACAGCCAATTTGTAAACATCTTTATTGGTAAACAGCCAATTTGTAAGCAACTTTATTGGTAAACAGCCATTTTGTAAACATCTTTAGGGGTAAACAGCCATTTGAGTGAACATCCAAGTAGGTAAACATCTGTTTGAGTAACTAGTCATTGACAATAACTGTTCTATATTTGAAATTTCACAAACGCATATATGCTCAAAGACATACCTATTGATAATTTTAAATGAAATTTGCACTGATTTTTCACCAAATTATGTAGTGTGGTTTAAAACTAGATAATCTAGCAACCTGGTGTTTTCTCTCTCACTCAGTACTAACCTCTATCTGTGATTATAAGTTTTGATTTTCTTTCTTTTATTTTTGTAACCATTTTTTCATGACAAAACAAACCAACAAGAACAACATTTTGTGTCATTGAATTTTCTTCAAGAAAGGTGTAATTGCTCATGATCTCTCTAAATTGCAATTTTGAAATATTTCATAAAGTTGTTTAAAATGAAACAAGATGTGTGAAATTGTTTTAGAAACAACCCTGAAATGTTCATGGCCAAATATCTTTTCAAAAGTCTTTGTTTTTGTTGTTGTTATCTTCTTGAAGTGTGATTTTTTTATATTTTTTTTTTGAAATCTGAAATCATACCCAGTTTTGTTTCTGTTCTTTGCAAATGATCTGTTCTAATTTTGGCATATATTGTAGATATTCATAAACTTTATTTTGTTGCTAATTGACAGACTCATAAATATGCCGGAAATTAATTGGCTTCATTTTTTTTTCCAGTATTACAACCATTAATTCTGTGACCCATCTTATTCTTTGTGTACTTTGTTTGTTTCATAAAACTCAGAAGCCTGTTGCAAACACTCTCCAAATGGTGTCCAAAAATAATCTTCAAAGCAAAGTGTAACTATCATCACCCTCCTAGCTTTAAACCCAAAGTTTATTGCTGTATCTTGTATGGATTTTGCGATACTTTTTTTTATTTCAAATGGTTCAGATTTCTGTTGATTTTTCTGAACCTTTTTTTTGACCTGCATGGCTTTATTTGATTTGTATTTGTTTGACAAAAAAATTTGTTTTTTAATGAAAAATTAAGATTAAAGAGTTTTGAGGTAAAAATGAAGTTTGAAGCTTTAATGTCATGTGCATATACACCTTTCTTGCAGGAAATTCATCACCCGCTCTCTCATCTAATGCCAAAGAATTTGCGAGTATGCTCGGTGAGGAAATAGCAGAAACTTATCAGCAGAAAATCGCTGAGTCATCATCATCTAAAACAGGACTTTCCTCTTCACCATCATTTTCTGCAGTTTCGCCTAAAAAGGATCATGAAGAAAAATCAATGAGCCCTGAATCTGGAGACATCCCCCCACAAGTGCCGAGCTCTCCTCTTAGTGATTCAAGTCGTTCTGGTAGACCGCCAAGTAACGAAACTGTCAGAATTCCCCCTCAATCCCCTCATTTCTTTCACCCTGCTTTTTCAAACAGCCATTTAATGGCAAACTTTATGGGATTAGGGATGAATTTTAACAATAACAATCCGCCAAAAGTTGATGTGAACGGTTGCCAAGGACTAGATACAGCAATGGTAGCCAAAACTGTGAGAGAATTGCTCAGTATTCATAATATTGGACAACGTTTGTTTGCCAAACATGTGCTCGGATTATCTCAAGGAACTGTGTCGGAACTACTTTCAAAGCCAAAGTCATGGGATAAGTTGACGGAAAAAGGTCGGGAGTCGTACCGCAAGATGCATTCATGGGCTGTCGATGATAGAAATATCATGGCCCTAAAAGCTATCTCCCCAAAGAAAGGTTAGTTCACTATGTTTGTTTGTTATTTTTTGTTTACTTCAGAAATGATTAAATTTTTCTGTTAATTCTTCAGAAATTATTAAATTTTCTTTATTTATTCTGTTGAAAATAGTGTTTGTATATAAATTATCAATGCAATTTTTTTTCTTTATAACAAAATTCAGTGAAATAAGTCTAATGTTTGTGAATAGCATGTTTTTGATGAAGGACATTCTTTACTTTTCTCTTAATTGTTTCTTGGTATACACTCCCCCACAGAGATATCTGTCATTCCTTAAATGCTCAGAAATGATGCAATATAAATATTTTGAATAATTGTGGAAAACCTTATGGCCTCAGATCAAATTAAAATAGGGAAGACCGAAAACAAGGAGGAATAACATTTCATCATCATGTTTCAATTATAATAGTAAATAAGGAGGCGGAGTCAATTTATAAAGATAGCCAATCAGATTCTAAGAACCAAAAATTTAAATATTTTATTATTTTTATATATTTGGCTAGATGCTTATTTAAAGAACAAAGTAGCCAGTTACATAGAGCCAGATTTCTATGAAAGAAGTAAGTTTATGTTGTCCGTGACTAGATATAATTTCCTATCTGTATAATATGTGTGAGTGCTTTGTTTTCTGTAAATTTTATTCTAAGAAATCTTTGCTTTACTATTCACTTATATAAAAAAAAAAATGACACAAGTTAATGCAACACCTCATTTTGACCATTGTATATATTTTAAGTCTGCTCCTGTGAAAATTTGTTCTTGAATTTCAAAGCTTATCTATCTTTTAGCACTGATTGGCCATCTTTTATTCCTTGAGCATAGTCATGGAGTCATATTAAATTTGTAGTATGACAAAATTCATGATATATTTTTCTGGGACTTAAACTTTAGAGTGCTATCATAACCAATGATTGGTCTTTCATGCTAGAACCTAGCCAACCTGCTCATCTGTATAGTCTGACCACATTCTATTTTGTTGGTAACTGGATAATTATTCTTGACATTGAAATTCTTAGGTGGTAAAATGGCTCAGTGGTTAATCCATTAGACGAGTAATCTAAGAATCGCTGTATAGGTTCGAACCACATCAAAGGCAATCTGCTGTTTCCTAACTTTACTCTGATTGGTTGGTACTGGTTAGCTCCAGGAATAGATTACTCTGATTGGTTGGTACTGGTTAGCACCAGGAACGGATTCTAGAATATCTTAATAAGCTTATAGCTTCCTTCACAATTGAACTAAAATAAATTCTGTATAAACAAGATCCCTATTTCAAATCAGGATAACCAAATTACACAGAGTCAGCAGGATAATGGTTTTATCATACTAGTTCTGTAAATAAATGTTTACAATAAATTGCTATTTATATTTCCTGAGACTATGTCTATATTTATTGTAGGTTCTCAGCCATTATTACCAAGTATACAGCGCGAGGACGCTGCAACAGAAGAAAGAATTGCTCACATTCTGAACGAGGCTCAGCTTGCCATGCAACAGAAGAAGAATCTAGAACAAGTCTGGAGTAAAGAGGTTAGCATAGTGTCTATTTGTCGGCTTTTAAGTCACAACACATTGAGACTTTCCCAGTTTTTGGAGGAATACCTAAGGTGTCCCTTTGTGCATTATCTCAGCCATGGGCATGCACCTAGGTCGAGCCACCAAGGCTCTATTACTAGCTGAAGAACTTTCCTAACAAAAAAATTTCATAGCCCCAGATGGGATCCGAACCTAAAGTGGTTAGTTGAAAGTGATTTGAAGCCACTCAGACACAATGGTCTGTTTAAGTCTTCAGATAGTCAACACAAGGGTAATGTAGCATTTGTAGTAAAGTAACAATTATGAAGTACACTTCCTTTGCAATGAAGAAATACTTAAAAAAGCAACAACAATAGAAAATTTAATTGAAAATGAATAAGGAAAAGAAACCTATGTTATTACTTAAGTTAAGTCAGATCTTTTAGGTCAATATTTTTGGTGATGCCATACATCTAGTCTTAACAGTGAATGACAAAAATCAGAGGACAAGCGAAATTATACTAATATGTGAAATTTGGAAAAATATTTTTAGGCAAGTAAATATAGGACACAGCATTACAGTATTTTTCTTAAAAATAAACTTAAAATTTGTATGATTGCAGCACCAGAACGCCATGGTGAGCAGCATCTATCAGGAAATGGCAAGATCATATGGCCAGTTACAGGGGAGTCAATCAATGCCACTGATGAGCCCTACATCGCCCATGCCTTCTATTCTTTCATCTGTAAATGATCGAGAACGTTACCGTAAACTCAGTGACTCGGACAGACACAGAGATAAACATAATCCAGAAATGTCTTCAAAGGATATGGTGGAGAGAATATACCGGCAAGAGCTCATAAAGCTTGCTCAGGCTGCGGAGAATGCTGGTAATATTGCAGCTAGCGCCCTCTACCAACAAGAGCTTGCGAGACTTGCACAGAATGCTAGGATGCGTGATGAGCCTGAGCCAGGGGAGGTAAGACATATACGTGGATCGCCAGAAAGAATGAAAGTTAAATCAGAGCCGCCAGACAGTACGTCGGAAGATATACTGGCCAATCAGGGGAACGGTCCAATTGATCTCAGTAAACGTAACACTTCAACACCCAGTACCCCGACCTCAGGAGGCTCTGATAAATCGCTCAACAGTTCTGCTCATGCTGGAAGTGCCTTCTTTCAAATGCATGCTAAGATCAATGGCCATGAGGTCACTGAGAAGTCATTGAAATCAGAAAGTCATCCGCCTACGTCGCCTGCACCTCATACAGCATTCCCTCACCATTTCTCACCTTCTGACACATCATCTTCACCACTTCAACGAATGCAGAACATTGCTAACTCATTAATGAACAGGTCACAGATTGGAGCACCTTGTAGCAAGCCATTAAAAGCTGTTCTACCACCAATAACTCAAGAGGAGTTTGATAGTTATGCCAACATCAATACGGAAGATCTCGTGAAACAAGTGAAAGAAACTTTAAGCCAGTATTCTATAAGTCAACGATTGTTTGGCGAAAGTGTGCTAGGTTTGTCACAGGGCAGTGTAAGTGATTTACTTGCAAGGCCAAAGCCATGGCATATGTTGACACAGAAGGGGAGAGAGCCATTCATCAGAATGCAGTTGTTTCTGGAAGACGCTGAAGCTATTCCTAAACTAGTGGCCTCCCAGTACCACATAGCACCAGATAAACTGATGAGAAGCAACTCTATGTCTAAGGAGACAGGTTAGTAAATCTTATCCTTCCTTTATAATCTTCAATGTAAAAGAATAAAAAGAAAATTATACTTGATCAAACTTCACATCAATATTTACTTAAGCTTTTGTTTATGAAATTATAGATATTTTAAAATTTGTTTTAGTTTTACAGAGAAAAAGAAGTTAATTCATCAATTTTACGAACATTTACTTAAATGATCTAATTTCCAGGGTACTTTCCAAGCTAAACTCGGATTTAAAAAAAAAAATAAAAAAAAAAAATGATGCAATTTATATGATGTTCCCCAAGTATTATAAACTGTTATACCTGAAATTTATTTAGATTGTGAAGTACAAAGTTTATGGCAGGGTTTCCGGGGTAACATCCCTGGAGGTTCACTGCCATTGGTCGCTCCAGGAGCATTGTCACTGGGACTTTCAGGTACTTGAACAGTTATTCCAGAAAATCAGTTTTTCGCTTTTGCTTTGTGAAACTCTATGTATGCATTCTTTTACTATATGTGTTTGTTATTTGTTCTCATATTATTATTTATTTTTTGTACCTTTTATACAAAATTTTTCATATAACTAATTTTGGCTAAAAAAAAACAACAAAAAAACTTGCTTGAAATTTATTTACAAAGTTAGATTTCACCTTTGAATTATTGAATGAGGAAGACACATTTGATTTCTGTTATAGTGTTAGTCGATGGTTTTATGTGTTATCACATTTTTGTTTATTTTCAATGTTCAAGTTCACTTTAGTCACACAAGAATAAAAATTAGCTTGTGAAAGTACCCTGCAAATTAGATTTCTTAGTTTTCTTATTTTAAACTTTGTCTTTACAGCATATTGGTTAAGAAAACTGTGCTTTAAAACATAATTTATTAATTCAAGATTTTCTGAAGAAAGTACTTAAGATCCACACTTTTGATTTTGGAGTTGATTTTAAATTTTCTTTAAAAAAAAAAAAAGTAATAAAAAAATTGACAGTTCAATTAACAAAGCACATGTCTGTTATAAAATAAAAAAAGGTCTGATAAACATAATAAAGCACAGTTTTCTAAACCAATACTGAATAGAGTATTGACTTTCTTTTTCAAAAAAAAAAAAGCTGTTTTATACAGTTATATTATTATTGTTATTATAATGATTATTATTATTGATGAACTATTGTTGATATTTGATGATAATTTTGTATTGACTATTACAATTAATGTACCTACATACTGGAAATACTAAAAGAGAATTAACTTGCTTTATACTAAATGGCATGTCAGGATTGATACATATATACATATAACACTGTCTGTTCTTGTCCATTTTGTTTCTTTTATTACTATACTGTAATATGTTTATATGTCAAGTTTTAATCAATGTAGCTCTGGGTGGTCAGAATATTCTGTATATGTTTAAAACTAATGAATGATCTGTCTTAGACTGGGTATATTTAATTTATTCATTTAACACCCCCTTTCAATGCAGATTTTCTATGATGGACTGGCCCCCTGGTTTGAATTTGGAACAGTCCACTAGAAGCTGGGAGTGATTTCAGTATTAAAATTCAGCATTTTAATGGCTGGTCAGACTGGCGGGCAATAAGGAAGGCTGTCCTTAGTCTATACATGTGACAGCACAGGCCTGTTACCTTTGCCTTTATCACACAAACGATTAAAATGGTTCTTCACTTACTGCAATATTCAAGGCCAAATTCCTTTAGAAGTTAAAGAGAAAAAAAATCAGTTTGAAGAATTTATTGGATAATCTTGTTTATTATGGTAGTTTAAGTCCTTGCTGAACCGATGTTTGTTGACATATATTTTAAAATAAATTAATTGAAAATTACCTCCAAAGTAAAGAGCTACAAATACTTATTTTGCCTCCAAAATGAAGAGCTGAAAAGGGAAGGAATTATTGATAAAAATGATACTGTATAAAGCTTCTGTGTGTATGTTTTAATAATGGTGTGTGTTAATTTTTTGTGTACATTTTCTGACAGTCTTCATGAGCAGCTGCTGTAAAAATCTAACATGACGGATGGATGCATGGCACCATGGCCTTAAAATATAACAATGTAAACTACAATATACCTCTATATCCAGGTATTAACAATCATAACCTTTGTCTAATGCTATGTTTCTATGAAAAAAATGCAGTATTTATATTGACCTCATGTTCATTTCTTTTTATATATGAGCCAAAGAAGAAAACTTCACAATTTTAGATTATGTTTTAAAAAAAATGTTACAAAAACCATACACTTTATTTTTATTTTTTATCTTTTTATTTAAAAATTGAGCTAAAGAAGAAAACTTCACTATTTTAGATTATGTTTGGAAAACAAATGTTACAAAAATCATACATATAGCATCAGACAATAAAAATTTTCATGTCTATTCATCATTTCCATATATTGTCATCAATCTAAACATTTTAATAAATTAATTTTTACCCCTCCCCCCATCCACCTTTTGGAGAACGCCTAAACTATTCAATACCAAATCAGATAAAGTGTTTATCTCTTTCAACTGCAGCCCAATGTACCAGCCATCAAAAGTTAGTTAAGTTTGAGCTGTGTCATGACAAAACTAACATAATGGGTTTGCGACCAGCATGGATCCAGACCAGCCTGTGCGTCCTCGCAGTCTGATCAGGATCCATGCTCTTTGCTTACAAACTCTTTTACAAATAGAGAAACTGATAGCGAACAGCATGGATCCTGATCAGACTGCACGGACGCGCAGGCTGGTCTGGATCCATGCTGGTTGCAAACGCATTACGTTGGTTTTGTCATGATGCGGCTCATTTGTTGACTTGGATCTCGCTCTTTGCCATCACTGTTGGTATGCCTCAGTCTATATTAGCAATCATATTCTATTCAAGAAAAAAAATTGAGATGATTTTTTTTACTTAGACCTGGCTTGTGTCTGATGAAATCTCTTTTCTTGTCCTTCCATATGACCAGCAGAAATTGGCCAAGCAATTTTTTAAGTGACTTATTACCAAACAAAAATCTTTAAAATAGGCATTAATATTTCCACAGGTCCTGGAACAAGCCCGATTTTATTTCAGTTTCAGCTTTGTAGAAAGCCATCTGGCATGACATAAGATGATACACTGTTAAATTCTAAATATTTTTATAAAGGCCTGCATGAAAATGGCTACCTTCCACCTCAGCACTAACTTCACAACTTTGTAAGGAAGCATGTAGCTATGTGATTTGTCAAAGCCAGCCCCCTGATTGGAAAATTTCTATTTTGTTCCTCAGACCCTGACACCTCTTTTCTGCACAGTTCTTGTCCCCCTTTAAATTACCTCGGCTCTGCTCCTTAGACGTTGCCCTTTCTTGTTTGGTAAATGATTGAAACACCTCGGCTCTGTTCCTTGTGTCTTGCATCATTCATCCAATTGTCAATTTGTACTAATATTTCAACACCTATATCCTTTAACCAGCATTCTATAGCCAGTATTACATGGAATGGAACTATAAATAACTAAACCATATATACATGTACATATACATTGGCTTATACATATATATATCTATATTACAAAATGCTGTTCAAACTAATTCATGGAGTGTATTCAGCTATTTTTTCATCTTTTTCAATGTTTTTTGTTTTTGTTTTCTAAACCATTGCTTAATATTAAGTAAAGTTAGAAGGAAAACAAATTAGTTTTGAATTTACTCTTTGATGTTATTTTCCATAAAGATTTAATCTACATTTTTATTATCGCTTTTAAAATTTTTACTAAAAAAAGTGATATTTATGCATTTAGATCAAATTTTAAAAATTTCAGTATTGCATGTTGCTAGAGCCATTTATAAAAATAAAGTCAAATAGACCATTACAATTTTGTCATATTAATTCTTGAATATTTTTACCTCAAATTTAGATTAAAGAGTTCTGTTAGCTTTATGGGTTAATATATCCTATGTCTTTACAACCTCAAGTAACAAATATTTTTACACAAATGTTCAAATTTTTATTTTGTTAGAAACTCTTTTCGCAAAGTAAAATGTTTAAGGAAATTTCTCACAAGTTGTTAACAATTTGAAACTTTTAGTAAATACACTAGCTATAGAACTTTGCTTGAATACATTCCATTTTTTTTTTTTTGCATGACACACATAATAGTCCTGAATGATAGTGACCTCTGCTTTAACTTCATACACTGCATTAAACTTGCCCTTCTAACTCGTCTAACCACACTATATTGGCATCTTTTAGTAATTTTTTTTTTCCTTTAAAAAAAATCTTTTTTATTTTTCCCCTTTGTAGTTTCCCAGACTGAAATGAAACCCACACCACCACCACCACCTCCGCCACCACCACTTCCGCCACCTTCAACACGCCCCCAAAATGTGCCTCCTTTAATGTTACCCAGTGTAGCACCACCTGTTTCCCATGGGGAGCCTCAGCACCCGCTATTTATGCACCACCATCATCATCACCAAGCACCTCCGCACCACCAACTTCACCATCCTAACTGGGCCTCATTCTCGTATCCATCCTCCATGTTGGAAGTCGTTGCCATGACGTCAGAAATTGATACACTGGAACTCACTGGACGTGTTAAAGATGTGCTACAGTTTAATAACTTGGGACAGAAACTGTTTGGAGAGGCAGTTTTGGGATTGTCACAAGGTTCTGTGAGTGAGCTGTTGTCAAAGCCAAAACCGTGGCACATGTTGAGTATTAAGGGGAGAGAACCCTTTATTAAAATGCATCTATGGTTGTCTGATCCACACAATGTGGAGAGACTCAAGCATTACCAGAATGAAATGAAAGGTAGGTTAAGCAATTTAGATTTAAAAAAAACAAAACAGAATAAACAAGAAGATTTGAAATGGACAGAACAGACATTATGTAGATAAATATTTAAAGTAAATATATGTGTATATGTATATATAAGCAAATGTTTTGACTTTTGGAAAAATCACTTTCTTTCAGCTGTTACGATATTATATGAGACACCCAGCTTGACATATTTAACTTTATTTCAATTTCAGCCAATCGTAGAAGGCGACACAGTCTGGAGGACAGATATGATGCTTCTATAGCATTACCAAAGCGACCAAGAGTGTTCTTTTCTGAGGAACAGAAAGAGAGATTGCGGCAGGCATACAACAGAGATCCATATCCCAATCAGAACACTATTGAGGCCTTGGCAAACACGCTTGGTGTTGGTGTTAAAACCGTCATCAACTGGTTCCACAATCATCGAATGCGTGCAAAACAACAACAGCATGCAACCAGCCCAACAACCCCTTACAGTGAATACAGTCAACAAAGTATTAATAAAGAGGAGTCTAACGATGATAACTCAAACAACAGTGACATATCTAGCATGTCAGATAACAGAGAAGCTCTCAATGCTCTCAGTTTTCATTCCAGGTTCATTAACTCAGATTCCAATCAGTGGATGTTCCCAAGGTTTGAACCGGCTGGTCTGAATAAGAGAAGCAGCAATGGTTCGGAACATAATATGGATGATGGAAGTGACCTTGATGATGATAATGATGATGAGAAAATGGATGAAGCATCCAGTCCTAATTCTGCCAAAGGAAACACACAAAATGCCAAAGATTATGACAATGGTAGAGATGATGATCTTGATAATGATAGTGGAGATGATGTTGATGATGGAGATGATGAAATTGAAGGTGATGAAAATTCAAACACAGATCAATCTTTTGATAAGAATGATAAAGATTCTGAGTATACGAAAGGGCAGGTGCAAAACATGTCACAAGCAGGAGGAGCTAACAAGCGAAAGCGATCGCATCCGCAGTATGTGTCTGCTGGTCGGCATTTAGACAGGACTATAAATAGAATAGAAAATTTACAGAAAGGTATTGCTCTCACTAATGATGTGAGTGAGACTGAAAAGGAAAATACAAGTGAGAATATTGTAGACAATAGAAATGATAACTCTTTGAATGATTTAGAAATGAACGACAGCGAGTCTGCGAAAGTAGTTGTACGAGAAAATGGGGAAGATTTATGGGAAAAGGGTGACAAAAGCTCAAATATTAACAAAATACAGAAAAGTATTTCTCAACATTCTGGTGAAGATTGGGAGTTCTAGGCAGCATTACTGGTTACCGTGGTATCATACTGATTCCTGGATAGCTTCACAAACATGTTATCTACAAAATGTAGAAGTAGTGCTTTTGGGTTGTAGTGGTCAGGTTATACAAGAAAACTTTATAATGGTGTTCAGTTTAAAACTTTTATTTTGTGCTGATGTTTATTTTTGAGACGTGTTAGTGAAGACAGAGTTTTAAAGTGCTTATATACGCTACAAAGTATTATTACTTACAATTACCTTTGTTGTTCATGCCTTTTAAAGTTTATGTTTTGTTGTGACTTACCCAGGTTTATCAAATGTTCTGATAGCCTATGGTTTTATATATTTTTATGAGAAAAATACACTTTGTGACTCAAGTTGAAATATGAACTCTAAGAGAGTTCTGTTGTGTTCATATGGGAGCTCAAGAAACTGTTTTGTTTTTGTTATATTTGTTATTAAAGTAGGGCTTTAGTAATATACTTGCGGGGGAAATATTTTATTCCTCAAATACAATCTATATAGATAATGAAACATCTACAAAACAGAAATTTTCATAAACAGTTGATAATGAAAATGATAAAAAGTGTGAAAGGAGATCCATGTGTTGTTAGAAAATGGAAGAAATGAAGACTTTAAAGAAGAAGTATTGACAGCTGCTGAAGTCTTCAAAAAGAAAGATGATGATTAAAATACCATTTTAAATGGGAATGAGATAGAACAGTTTATTTTCTGTTCCTAGTATTATTGGATGTTTTTTTTGTTTTTCGTTCAGGACTGCAGCAAAGCAGTGTGTTATGAGATGACTATTCATGGTTTTTGAATATAAAAACAAAGATTTTAAGCAGAGAAAATATATTCATTATTCAGTAAATAACAGTGCTTATTCTGTAAACCGTAAACATTTTTTTCTGATAAGAAAAAAAATTATTTGATTGATATTTTTTGCATGTGTTTTTTTTTTTGTATTTTTTTTGTTTGTTTTTATGTATATATGCTAATTGAGAAGTGTACATTGAAGGGTAATGTGTAACCTATTTTTATACAGACCTATTTTTACATTTTATATATCGACCTAAACTACTGAATGTTTCATGAAATTTTCCGTAGGATTTTAGAGAAAAAAAAGTTCTGTTATTTTAGATAGGTCGCATAAACTAGATCAGTTTGCTTTCTACATGGTCATATCTCATTACAAAATATACATTATATATAATCATACATCCATATATGACACAAAGTCAGTTAACAACATCAGCTGAGATACTGTTCATTCTCTCAGTTTTTGTGCATGTCCATAAAAAAAGAAGTAAAAAAGTATTATGAATGGCTTATGCAACTCCTCAGAATCAAAATAAATGTTGTGTAATGCTAGACTGTAACATGGTATTTTTGTGTTTGGTTTTTTTGTTAACCTCCAGCACTACTGAATTTGCAAGCTGAATTTTTGTTCTTTTACATCATCCTATTTGGTATTAGAGATAAAAAATTTGATTTGCTTTAGATTTTTGAATAGTCAGATTAGAAATAATGGCAAAAATTTTAGAAGTTAAAAGAGGGCAGTGACTGTTACATATTCTGATTATTTATATTACAAAATGTTTTTAAAAAGTAGATTAGTTTCAGTTGTTCAGCCTTTATTAGAAATAAGAATTTTGAATTTTTTGTATGCTCTACAATATATATACTCGAGAAATCGAGCTGTATAATCCTTGTGGTGTAAATGCTGAACTGTGCTCTGCTGAATTTTAAGTGGCTTATGCCCTGATCCATAGGGTAAACTACCAACACTTCCAACACCACCACAGTTTATTCTAACAGATATGCATCACCTATTCATTTTCAGTATTAAAAGTATAAACAGAAGGAGTGTCAACTAAAGTTATATTTGCATATATTTACATAATTGCAAAATTTTCTGTCGTAACTGCCCCTTTTATTAATGTGTTTTAAGAAATTAAATCATGGTTGACATATGGCTTGGCTGGTGAGCGATATGTAACTTTCACTGCCCTATATTAGAAAAATCACTTGAAAGATGCATTCCAATAAAGTGGTCCAATTATTGAGTATGGTTGCTGTTATCTGATAAATGTAAATAATTTACTGTAGTGACTATAAACTTGTCGCTATGGTAACACATCCCTATTTTTATAAAATAAGGTTGAAATATAAAAAAATGGTGATATTTTCATTAATAGAGTTGTTAAATGGGTTGTTGTACAGTTTATTAAAGACACAAATTTATTTTATTCTTTTGCCAAAATAAAAAGTTAAGATTTTGTCCTTATAAAAACATACTGTTATAGAAAAACAATTTTTAAACAAATTTAATTGATTTATTTTTTGTTGAAATAATTGAAAATTATAGGTAAGTGGAAAGTTGTAATTATATTTCTTCTGTGTGTGTATATAAAAGAAACACAAAAATTGACATAATTATTGTTAACTGGTTCATGTTTAGTTTCAACAGTCAAAGGCTTAATTCCATATGAAATTTGAAAAGTCAAACTTTTTCAGGAGTTCTTGTTTGAAGCTCCGTAGATGACAATTTTGGAAATGGAAATCTACTTTGTGCTAATCTTGGAAATGTATTTTCTGAATCACTAACAAGAATATTAGGATTTATCCATGATGAAAATTTGAATGCCATTTTAATTTTTTTCATAAAGATTTTCTTGTCTTGGTGTGGAAGGTTATCATTGTTGTAGGTGATGAGGAAATCTTAAACAATTGTTTATAATGTTGCTAATTGGGTCATATAAATGCTTTAATGTTTGCTATGTTAAAAGTTGTAATTTTTTTTTTTTTTGCCTGTGCAATATACGGGGATTAGGTTGTAGATATTTTATGTTCAGGTAGTTATGTATCCATAGTTACCAAGCTTTAGTTGTCCAAATATCTCAACTTATAATACCAAAGATTGTTAGTTCATATGAAAAGTGTTCAATTTTATTTCGTATATTTTATGTTAATCACAATGTGTTCTAAGTTTTGTTGATTATTTTTTAGCTTTAAGGGTTTTTAACAGTTTAGATACGGTAGATGTTTCATCAGAAAGTGGGGATTGTACAACTTGACCTTTCACCTGTTGAATTTCTTAAACAAACTTGTTCAGTTTCCATTTTCCGAAACTGGTGATTACCAATTTTGAGGATATGACGATGATTATTTTTTAGTTTGTCACAAACATTGGTATAGGGCCTTGTCAGACTCTACGGATGTGCAGGCTGGCCTGACTTGATACACTGGTAACAAAGGCTTAGGGTCCAGCAGGGTAAAGGGTTCAAATTGTTGTCACCATTGACCTAATTTCTCATGTTTTACAGAGAAATTATTTATTTTACTGTAGATTTCTACAAACCAAATAGATACAAATTTTACTTTAGTATTTTCCACCATTTGTTTATGCCTTGACACAAAGTACTGATTGGGTTCACATCTACAAATAGATTTTTTATTTTATTTTTATGCTCCCCAAAATGGGGAAGCATATAGTTTTAGTTGAATTTATGTTGACATGTGCTAACTATTCTTGCTGGCAAAGATAAAATAAATCATTTTCGTGTTTTCTTTAAATTGTAATTATGAAACATATTTTGTGTATTTTATTAAAGCCAGTTAGAATTTACAAGGAGAATAAACATATTTGCTGATTTTACAATTTTCAATCAATTATAACACATTTTGTTTGCAAATATATTCTTAGTTTCCAATTTTCTAAAATGTGCATGAAATTTTCTTTGCAACATAATAGGGAAAAAACATCAAAATAGCATTAAACAGTAGAAAATGATATTACTCGATGAATTCTCAGATGTTAATTAACTGTGCAATACAGAGTAGTCAAACTAAAATTGTGTTCATCTTTACTATTATATTCAGCTCAAATCTAGCATAGAAATGTGTTTACTTAACAAAAGTGGTATATGTTAGTAGGGTATTATAATTCTAGGATTTAGTGTTTGAAAAATTAAAATTTCAATCGTTGTTAGTAAGCAGTTTTCATTTTAATTTGTTATACAAGCTATTACAAAAAATATTTTGATAACTATGTTATTGACACGATCAGTATAACCTTGAGTAAACCTTGATTTAATCTTGAAACAATTTGACAATGTATATAGCTACAGAAATTATGTCAGTATTATCAAATTTAAATTGTTACCATGGTAACAATTCTATAAATAGTTACTAAGAATGTTCTTGTTACTAGCATATAGCAAGTTTAAGGTCCTTCATGTTGCTATGGACAAAATCTGGTTTTGTTTCCTGATTGATTTATTTTATATTTTTTGAGAATTAAATCATGTTCTACAAATTGAAACAAATTTATCTACAGTATAATTTATTAATGTTTTTATCATGTTACTGCTTTTAATTTTAAAAGAATGTATTCCTGAATAAGATCCAAGTACCTATGAATTAGAAATTATATATTATGTACAGAATTGCCTGATAACTTTGTTATCAATTTTTTATAAATACCATAACTTATTATTGCCTGTTTGATTTTAAACACAGAAGGAAACTGTTAAATATTACAAATAAACTTCTAGATAAAAATGTTTAAAGGTAGTTGTAGAAACACAAATCATGTATTGTGATGCATATGAGTCCAAGCACCTTTTTGAGAGACACGGTTTTGTTCTTAAATAAAAAAAAAAATGGGTCACCTTTAATGCTGTTTTTAGAACAATTAGACACTTGTTATTTTATAAGACAGTATTTGAGTGAATTTTGTAGAAGTGTGTCTTCCATTATATAAGATAATCAAAATATATACACTGTTTTACTGTATTTTAATGTTTCTCTATGATACCTGCTTTGTAGTATATACATCATTGCCATGTGAAATAAATTAGTATGAATTATATGCTTTAACTTTAAAGGCCCATTATGCCTCAGAAATGCTTTTTTTTTTTATTTCTTAAAAACATTTTAATTTTTGGTGGACCTTTACAGTCTCAAAATAGTTACTCATTGGCCAGTTACCTGAACCATCTTTGTCTTCTGTTGCTTTTTGGCATTAAGTACAGTAATGTTGAATTAGTATTTTAGCATTAGTATACTACTTTGTTTACATTTTGCTAATTTTATCGCAAATAATTGCACATTTTGTAATACCTTGTTCAGATAGTCTGAGCATCTAAACTTGCTCTAAAACCATTATTTTACTGTTATTAAACACATGTATGCCATTTCTAAAGAAATAAAAAATGTATTGGTTTTTGAGGCATAATGTGCCTTTAAAAGAAGTTGACTCCAACTGTAAAAAAATTGGTAATTTTATGTACCATATATTTTTCACAGTTTTATTTTACCGTGCATAAAAAATAAACAATGATAAGTGGCTATGTCAATTTTAAAATGTCTTTTGAAAAGGTGCAAGGACTCTTAGTGCCAAAAAAATGGTATGTTTCAAGCATTCAATTATTAATTATCCTGACAATCATTGGTTTATGCAAATGAGATGAATATGAATATTCATTTATTATAATTAAGTGGGTTTAATGTTTAAATTAGGTTGCATGTATATATTATATAGTCAGAAATAGTTTTATTAATTATGTAAACTTTGGTAAGATAGCTTTATCTATGTACATACTATTACATACTTACACTTTATTAATACAATTCACAGCCATTTACTATAAAAGTTGTTTTGTTTTAATTATATATAAATATATTTTATTGAAAAAATATTTTTTTTCTCTCTCTTTATGTGTTGTACAAAGAATTTGTGCTTTAAAAATAGCTTTATTATAGAAACTTTATACATCAAAGAGACATGTACATGTAATTTACATCAATGTTTTGTAATTAAATGACTGAAACATTAACTAGTTCATATTTGTATTAACTTCATAGTTCTTAATGGGAATATGAAATCACCTTTATTAAAGTGCACAGATATTTCTTTTCTGTATTTTTACCTGCTTTTAGGTAGTTTGTGCACGTTTTGGTTTTTTTCTTTGACATAGAATTTAGAGAAGTAGACATGTGCATGTTTTATGCTATTTTTTTAAAACAGTTTGTGACTGACGATTGTCACACGGTTGTTCATGTAGATGTATATCTTTTTTTTTTGTCTTCATAATTTACTGTACTATAATTTTGTTAATATCCGTGTAAAGAACTATATATAATGCATTTATTGTGGACCTATTCCTGGTCATTTTCTTGCATTGTTTTTTTTTTTGCATTGAAATGTTATTGTGTTATAACAAGCAGAAATATTATATAAAGAAAAATATGATAGCCAAAGATTATATATTAAGCTTAAAGCAGGCTCTTTTATCTAATTTGTGCATCTTGTTTGATCATAACTTTATTTTGTTTTGTTTACTTATTTGTGAAGCTGTAAATATAAGCTCTTAAACCCTCCCTTTCTTTGTTAAACTACAAAATAATAACATTACTATCGTAACATTTTACTAAAATTTGCCATTTAATCATTGAACATTCTACAAAATATTGTTAATATTTGCAATTGTTATGTCCATATACCCCCCTGTCACTTATCATTGAAATAACACCGGGTCAAGGTCATTATTATATTACAACATTCAGAGGTCATTGTGTTATAAGGTCATTGAAATAACATTGAAAGGTCTCTAATCATTTTGTTTAAGGTCATTGAAATAATATAGCAAGGTTAGAGGTCACGCATTTGAAGGTCATTGAAATAATATAGCAAGATTAGAGGTCACACATTTGAAGGTCATTGAAATAATATAGCAATTAGAGGTCATGCATTTCAAGGTCATTGAAATAGCATAGAAAGGTCAGATAACATGCATTTCAAGGTCAAATCATTATAGAATTCATTTGTACAAACAATCACTTAGTTCAGTGAATTTTTCCTTTAAAAAAAGTCATTCCAAAATTAGAAATGAGAGTTCAGATGATATTTTTATTGAGAATAGATATAGAAAGTAAATCTATTTCTTTAAAAAAAATGTTTTAATTCTTTGCTTTTTAATTTGTTCACTCTTACACCTTACAGTGCAAACGAAATATCTTTGATTTTATCGTTGTTGATAAAAAGCCTTGGTAGTGCTATAAATTTGACTCAAAACTTTTATGTATTAGAACAATACAGACACAGTTCAGATGATTTATATTTGACATACTATAGTTCTGTTTGATTAATTTTAAGCTCAATATATTAGTAATCAGTATTTTAATCAGAAATTTTAATGTTGGAATATGTTCCACAATGTTTACCATTTTTCTTACTTATATTTTTGTTTTGTTTCAGTTTTTTTTTTATTTTATAAAAAAAATATGGAATTTTGTTTTTGTTATGAAAACAAATTTTATATAAACTAACAGTATATTAACAGAATTTATTACTTGGATATTTTTTCTTCTCTTTCTAATAGGTTGTTAATGAAAGAAAATTTTGTATGTTTTATTAATGATACCTAACATTTTAATTTACCATAACTTTTGGATGAAATAGGTAGTTATTGTTTTGTTTTTTGTTTATTTTACAGAATTTAATGAGTATTTTAAATGGTATTTGGAATTTTCAAAGGGTTTGTGTCAATCTGTATGTCTAGTCGATAAATATTCGTGTTCATAATTAGGTCATGTTCCTGCAGCCATGTTTTCTAAAATTCTCAAATATTAACGGATACTTTTCAATATCTCATTTTCACTTATCATATGAAAAATGAGTAAATCAATACACAGTTACATTAATGTTTAGATTGTTCATTAGAAAAAATCAGTTTGTACAATTTGTAAATTACTTTTTTTTCATTTCCTTTAAAATGAAACAAGAATAGATGAATATAATTTTTAGATAAAAGTACATGTATTTTTTATGGTTTTCTGAAATACTTGTAGTTGTATATCGAGTAAATTGATGATTTAATAAATTTGAATGTTATAAGAAATGAAAGTGGCGCTGTATTGATGTCAGTAGATAGACTGTGTACTTTTGCTCAAAGATTATTTGAGCCGCGCCATTACAAAACCAACATAGTGCATTTGCAACCAGCATGGACCCAGACCAGCCTGCGCATCCTGGATGCGCAGGCTGGTCTGGATCCATGCTGTTCGCCAACAAGCACTATTACAAGTAGAGAAACTGATAGGGAACAGCATGGATCCTGACCAGACTGCGATGACATGATGGTCTGGATCCATGCTGGTAGCAAACGCACTATGTTGGTTTTGTCATGGCGCGGCTCATTTCTGTCAGGTCGTAGAATTAGTTAACAGCTACCACTATAATATTTATAATAGTGCATATACATATAGTAATATTGAGAAGATTTTGGTAAAACATGGCTGACATAGAGTGGGTGGAGGGAACATGACCAGTGTTGAGTATGTACAAGTGTAATAATGTATATCTACAAATTAATGTACCTCTCTTTCTCTCTGTGTAACCTTTCCAGGTGCTTATTTCAAATAAAATAAATTTATTATGTTATCTTTGTTTATCTCTTCTTTTATCATTTTATCATTAGAAAAAAAAAATCTAACTGGTAACCAACCAATAATTCTAAGCCCGGTGACCAACTAGTTATTCTTAGACAGGTAACCATTGAGTAATCTTCAGGCTGGTGAGTAATAAATAAATCCAGAAGTGGCAACCAATCAGTAATCTTAAGACTGGTGACCAAAGAATAATTGTAAGCCTGGTGACCACCTGATAATTCTTAGATTGGTAGCTAATAAATTATCTTCTGACTGGATGAATTCAGAACTGATGAAAACTGGTGACCATGCAATAATTCTAAGCCTGGTGACCAATTTATAATGTTGATATTTGTAATCAATCAGTAATCAGCAGGCTGGTGATGAATAAATGAATCCAGAGCTGATGACCAATCATTAATCTGGAGGCTGGTGACCAATTGAAAATTCTGAGACTGGTAACCAATAAAAAATCTTCAGTCTAGTTAGTGATAAATCAAGAACACTGTTAAACAAACATTAATCTTAGGGCTGGTGACCAAGCAGTAAATCTAAGTCTAATGACCCAATGACCTGTCAATAATAATGATAACACTGATTATATTTTTTTTGTACAAAAACTATTTGCTGTTTTGATGTTGAGACATAACTTTAAAGTTAAGTCTTACTACAGGTAATTTCAAGACATAAATAATGATTGTAACCATTATGACAAATTATGCCATCGGTGTAAAGCTAGAGTTTGTCAGTCAACAGTTAGAGTCTGGTTAAGGATTGTATGGATGTACAGACTAGCCTAGCTCTATACTGGTGGCAAAGGGTTAACATTTTTCAGTTCAAGCGGAAAAGAATGGTTAATACTGGGTCCATCGTGAAATGGTCGAGACAAATTCAAAAGAAATGGAGCCTTTCAGTGAACACAGTAATTTGATAGGTTTAAAGGCAGCACCAATATTATATCTGTTGAACTTTTTACTGATAAGCTATTATAGGCTTTTATTTTGCTGCATTTTTAAAGTGGCTTATCAGTAACACCTAAGGTGTTGGTACACCAAGTGCCTTAAAAGGCAGGTGAACCTCTTTACACCCCCCCCCCCACCCCCCTCCATGTGACGAAGCTGTCTGGATACATTACAGAAACCAGATGTTTAAACAGGTGTCCAAATTATGCAGAGGGCATCTGAGATTCTTACTTTACCAATAAAGGTTGAAACTTCACCATATGACCTTAACAGTTAAAGGTGTGACTTAATTAAAGCCCAACCAAAATTTAAAAAAAGACGTTTTGCACTTGGTGCCCTTGAGCTTGTTATTGCGCTAAACTAGGTAATGAAAATATATTTTTTGAGATCAGAAATTCAGAATATACTTGATTTCTGACATGATTATGACCTTAAGTGTTTTATTAACTTGTGAAATACAAATGAAATCACGAGTTGTAAATACAAAAAAAAAATGTAGAACAAAATTAATTTCAAGTCATTTATGTTTTGTATATTTCCATGCAATTAGTGTTTGTTCAAATCTTTGCCTGTTGTTATATTCCGTCAAATAAAACAAGAAATTTGTGAGTTTTTGCTATAAATCTGTAAAAATTTGGCGGAAAACTGTTCTGTCAGATTGACTGGTCCGCACGCTTCAAGTGCCATCTTATATCATAACATGCATATTAAATAAATAATTTTTCAGCAGTATTTGTCAAAAATGTTCCCATTATCCGCACAATATACCTCTGTTTTGTAAGTAATTTATACATTTACTTTGTCACCTATTCAGTGTCAGCCATTAAATTTAGCCCATGTCATACGCTCTTTAATATCATTCAAAATATTCAATTAGTACACGCAAATAAGTGTGTGTTTTTTCTGTGGAGATTTTTTAATTTTTAGGTGGTATTATAGTGTTTGACATTTGTGGTGAAAACAGTTAAAGATAGGAATATATGTCAGATAATCAACTCTATATAAAAAATAATTTATGCTAATTATTTTGTTTTATAATAGAAAATCTCCCAATTTAGTGCAATGTAACATTTTGCTATAAATTCACAATTTCCGCTGTAACTGTTTTGTGTAATTTATACAAGTTGAATTGGTAAACTCTTATGACAGTCATAGATTTCTTAAGAATTTTCTGTTTTTGCCAATTTCTAGAAACATTGGAGTACTTGAAAAAAAAAGATTTAATTTTCCATCATTTGCACTTCAGCTGTAATTAATTATGTTTTAAACTCAGATTGGTACACTAGCCTTCTCTCTTAGAGATATAAACCAATATATGGTACAAATACAATAGCCTTCTCTCTTAGAGATATAAACCAATATATTGTACAAATACAATTATAGCCTTATCTTTTTTTGTACAAATACAATAGCCTTCTCTCTTAGAGATATAAACCAATATATTGTACAAATACAATTATAGCCTTATCTTTTTTTGTACAAATACAATAGCCTTCTCTCTTAGAGATATAAACCAATATATTGTACAAATACAATAGCCTTCCCTATTCGAGATATAAACCAATATATTGTACAAATACAAAAGCCTTCCCTCTTAGAGATATAAACCAATATATTGTACAAATACAATAGCCTTCCCTATTCGAGATATAAACCAATATATTGTACAAATACAATAGCCTTCTCTCTTAGAGATATAAACCAATATATTGTACAAATACAAAAGCCTTCTCTCTTAGAGATATAAACCAATATATTGTACAAATACAATAGCCTTCCCTATTAGAGATATAAACCAATTTATGGTACAAATACAATAGCCATCTCTCTTGGAGATATAAACCAATATTTGGTACAAATCAATTTCTTGTACAATAGCCTTCTCTCTTAGGGGCATCTGTGGCCGAGCGGTTAAGGTTGTTGACTTCAAACCACTTGCCCCTCACTGCTGTGGGTTTGAATCCGAACAGGGACTTTGGATTCTTTCATGTGAGGAAGCTATCCAGCTTGGTGGTTCTACTCGGGTTCCCGTTCATGCCTGAAATAATGCAAGGGAGTGCACCTGACGTCTTCCTCCATCAGTAAAGCTGGAATGTCACCATATGACCTATACTGTGTCAGTGTGACGTGAAACCCAATCAGCAAACAAAAAAACAAAGCCTTCACTCTTAATTATATACAAATTTCTGGTACAATAGCCTTCATTCCAATATCTGGTACAATGGCCTTCATTCCAATTTCTGGTACAATAGCCTTCACTGAAAGAGATATAAACCAATACCTGGTACAAGAGCCTTCATTCTTAGAGAGAAATTCACCATTATCTGGTAAAATAGCCTTTATTCTTAGAGAGGTATATAAACCCATATCCGGCACATTTTAGACATCACCACAGGAGCAGATTGTTGTTACTATATTTAGATAAGTAGCATATTGTTGTTACTATATTTAGATACAGGAGCAGATTGTTGTTACTTAAATTTAGATAAGACAATGTTTTTCTCTATTTAATACAGGAGCAATTGTTTTACTATATTTTAAACAAGGATATTTTGTTTCTATATTTAATACAGGGGATACTTTTTGGGCTATATTTTAAATTTAAACAGGAAAGACTATTTTCTAAATTTAATAAAAGAAGCCCAAATTTGAATTAAATTTTTTAAATACAAAGAATAGTTTTTATATTAGATGATTAAAACCAACTTTTTTTACTATATTTAATACAGGGGCGGAATAATAATCATATGGTTTCTGAAGTTAATGATATATTCTTGTTTAAAACATTTGTATTTTTAATCTTCATACAATATTTTTATTATTTTTGGGTGACAATTTAAACCCCCCTTCCTTTTGGAAATTAAATTTTTGGGAAAGATATATTTTATTTGACAACAATATAACTAGATGTGTTCTAGTTTTCTATAGTTGGAACATTGGGTAGTAAGGTTTCTCAAACTGAGGCTCACAGATGTTGTTGTACTATTTTACACTGCATGCCCTGTTATTAAATGTCCCAGCGTTCACCACCCAAACATTGTCTTATATTTGTCAAAACAAACAATTAAGAAATTCTGAAGCCTTCTTGGCATATGCATTCTATTTTCCATTTACCAAAAAACACATTGTGATTTTTATGGCCCTGCATGTTTTTTTTCCTGTCTGCCATTAGAAACGGTACATCGTCATTGCATATGCAGACATAAGTTACAAAATTAAAACATACCACCAAATGTTTAAAGTCGTTAAATTGCCACATTCACTTAATTGATAAAATTATGTCACTTGTCGCAATTAAAACGTCAAATATACTTCTTACACTGTCAAGCTAGGATAGCTTTAATTAATTTTCATTGTACGTTAACGAACATTTATACTTTAATGAACAAATGGCTGTTTACCAAATGGTTGATAGAAAGTGACAATTTTGGGTCAAAGTCGTTCGTGAAATATTGTCCGACCCATAGATTTTGAGCTTTGCTTGTCAATCCAGGGATTTCCATATTTAGCAATGCAGGAATTTAATGGATAGGGTAAGACAGTTTGATTTATTCGTTCATTTTTTATAATTTCTGAAAGGCGTTTGGCAAAGTGTCAAATATTTATAGGTAAGTGAAACTGAGCGTCTGCTGAACAAGCATTTTAAAAAAGTTCGGCAATAAACATTGAACTTTTTGTAGCAAATAAAAAAAGTTATTAAAAGTTATATGAAATTAATGTGGTACTAAGTTAAAGATAAATCCATCAATTTTTTTATATTTAAGAACAAAACAAAACTGAAAATACCCACCAAAAGATATGTTTTGAAAATAAATGTAATTATTTAAGAAAAAGGATTGTTATAATGCTAAATTGACATATTATTTCATGATAAATGGAGCAAATTTCTATTCTTTTTCAAAGACCATGATTGAGCACATATAAATTTATATTATTGCCACAGTGTCTACCCATTTACAATTCATATAAAAAAAAGGATTTAATACTACACAGATATCTGTTTTATAGAGTTTCCAAAATACAAGAATCTAAATTTAACATTATTTATATGAATGAGAAACATATAATATAATACAAATAGATGTATATAGAATCTGGCCAGACATCAGGCCTAGAGGTCATAACCTCTAGTCAGTCTTATTCAAATGAGCCTCGCCATGACAAAACCAACGTAATGCGTTTGCGACCAGCATGGATCCAGACCAGCCTGCGCAGTCTGATCAGAATCCATGCTGTTCACTGTCAGTTTCTTCACTTGTAATAGAGATGGTAAGCGAAAAGCATGGATCCTGATCAGACTGCACGGATGCGCAGGCTGGTCTGGATCCATGCTGGTCGCAAACCCACTATGTTGGTTTTGTCGTGACGCGGCTCAAATCATCTCTATGTTGGTCATGAAGCTTGCATTATAAATGATAGGAAATTTCAGTTATAATTTAAATTTGTCTCAACATTATTATTTGCATGAATATTATTTTCTGCATACAAAAACAACTCAGTTTCAGTTTTGTGAATAAAAATTGATATTCATTTACAGCCTATATACCTCCTTTTACTTTTGTTTTAAATAGTGATTTATATCATTTAATCAAAAGAACAACTTTTTTTTTAAAAATGGTTTGTATTGTTGTCATAGAAACAAGATACGACAAAGTTCTATTTTACATGCCATTTAATTATATCAATTGATATTTGTCTTAAAATTTAGTCAAATTGGCCGAAACATTTTACCATTGCCTGTAAACAGTCTTTAACTTCTTGTCTTTTTCCAAGCGTCAAATATATTTTGATATAAAAAATGATATTGCTTATTTTGTGTAAAGGAAAAAAAAACAGCCTAACTAAACAAACAACATTATATTTACTGGTGTTTTGAAGCCATAAACATAATATATATATATTTTTTTATTTTCCGTATATTTGAATTGTTCTTGGAGTGAAAATTATTATAAATTGAACATCATAACTAAAACTAGCATCATTTTGATACATTATATAAATTTGAAAATAAAAGAAACAATTAACCAGGATTATGCTATGGTACTATTTTTCAACATATATCATATTTATTTTGCATGGGAAAAAAAAAATCTCATATTTCATTGTGTGTTTTGTTGTTGTTGTTTTTTTTTGTCAGACATAAAAATTCATTGTTTATGTAAGCTAGTATTACATATACTGTAAGGATAAATCAATGATAAATAACATATAATAAGTTATATGTCAACATACTATATTATATTAACATAATTATAATCCTGGGAGGGCCACCTGCCGTCACAACACACCTATATACATGCCACCAGAATGGTATATAATTTACAATATAATTATTATAATTGTCTAAATGCCATTTTCACTGGTAAGTGTCTTAGACTTTCTCTTTAAAATCATGCAATAAATTTTCAAAATTGTTTGTAATTTAATTAATATTAATTTTCTTTTCCGCTTTCATCTTACTTTTATTATCTTTACACATTGAGAAAATGAAGATAATAATATTGAGAAAAAAAATGATAACAGAAAATAACCTTGAATGTTTTCTTATGTGATATCAATAGGAAATTACAAATAAAGTGATTTTTTTTTTCAGACATATAATTGTGTGTAGACAGACTAACCATATCTATATATACAGTCATGTACATACAACAATCACTTTGGTGTTGATATACCAAAAGATTTATTTTATATAGAATATGTTTTACCCTTAAAACATGGTTAAATATTTATTATTAAAAAATATTCTTATCTGATAAACAATAGTGTTTCATTTGGATGCTCTCCCTATCTTTTTCAAACCTTTAGAAAATAACAATAGTTCATAAAATGATAAAGGAATTCCAATGAGGTCCTGAAGCCAAAATATATAATTTAAAACTAATACATTTGTACATAGATCAACTAATGGGCACTTAAAACAGGAAGATATACAAAAAATAATTAACAAATTAACTAATAATTAAATTGAAAATTTGTGCAATTCTTATCCTGATTTAAGCTTAAGGCATTTAAATGCTCATTTTTTAACATTTAAAATAAGGTTAGTGATTGAACAACTGAATACAATTTATTGGTCAAGACCTACATCAAATGGTACATAAATCTCAGTCCCGTTATGTCAAAAAAACCTAAGTGGAGTTCCCTTGAATTCATTATAAAATGTTTCTACAAAATATAATATTAAAATTTGAAGAATATTTCGTGAAACTTGAATGTAGACATAGATGATTTATTTTAAATGATTTAACTGGTCTGGTAGTACAAATGTGGGGGTGTAATTTGTTAATTCTGGTCACATCTGATAATTGATGGATACAAATTGATTATATGCCTTTTATTTCAGTTTGGTTTATTTCATTGTCTTGTACCTGATACATCACAAATATTTTGTAGTTTTCCGAGTAAAAAACACAAAAATCACGATGACTTCCCCATTTTTATTGTTCAATGGCTGATTTACATTCCACAGTGATTGTATAAACTATTTCAGAATTTTTGTAACAAAAAAATTTTTTATCAATTGCTATGGTGATTGTGAGAAATGAAAATTATTCAAATCATGAAGTTTTAAACATTGTAAGTTAATCTTGACTTTATTTTATGGGGCATTTTCTTTATGAAAGATTTAATCATGCATTTGAGCTTTACCACACGGTAAAATTTAAAAATTTAAAACTTTCAAAAAGCGAACATCATGTTTGTTACAAAAAAATTTTTCTGTAAAAAATTTGTCAACAATTTTTTTTTAACTGCGATCATTGCTTAAACATTGTTAACAATCATTACATGGAATGTGCATAAAAAAGAGATAAAAATATAATTTAAAAAACATAATAATTATTTAAGTATATTTAATAGGAGCAGATTAATATAATTTCCTGTTCTATACCAAATCAAGAACTCTTCCTTTGACTGTTCAGAAAAAACTTGGCTCAATTTTCCGAAGCAGAGTTATTGATCTTTAGAGCAAATTATTAATAATAGAAAATTTGTTTCATTTAAAAATTCATCATAAAATATAATTAAACTAAAGGTACGCTAATTAATTAATCTAAAGGTATGCTTATTGAATACATAAATGAAATTTGTTTTCTGGTATTAATTTGGATTATAGTTTTTAATTTCTGTACCAACTTGTAAATTCTAAACAGAACCGATCGTTTCTTGGTATTGTTTTGTTTTATATGAGATTTAACAATACTTGAACGTAAACAATTCTTTTGGATTGGAATTTTAAAAAAAAGAAAATATTGACATAAAAGTAATTAACTCACACTTCTGTCCTTTGCCAAAACAACACTTATATTATTGTATTATTATTTTAATAAATACATGTTAATTTAGATATATTAGCTATAATTTAATTCGCAACAGAGAAACAATTGTGGAATATTTTATTTAAATAATCTCTATACTCATTTGTTTTGCTAGAACTGAAGATGATCGTCACCTTGATGCAGTAATGGGTTATCTCTTTATATTATTTTATAGGAGTTAACCTGTTACTGCATAGAGGCTCACAGGGAAGACAGGGCATGCCCCCAACTGTGTTGCCACTTTAAATAAACTCTTTATTATTAGTATTATTTTATTATTTCTGCATTAAGGTGACATGTTTAGCCTCTGTTGTACAAGTATAGAGCCAGGCCAGCCTGTATGTCCGTGCAGACTCAGATCAGGCTCAATACTGTTGACTGATTAAATTAAATTTACATCTTAAATATCCCAAAATCTGAAAATGGATCGTTCCAAAAATAGAAGATGGAAAATTTCATTTTAAGAAATTCAGCAGGTTATGGTTTAAGTGTAATGAAATATATACATACTTCTTGAACTATTGTTATAAAAACTGAATCAACTAATCTGATAATGATCTTAGTAAGATTCAATAAAACAACCAAACTTTTCACACTGATTAGCTTTAAATCTAAAAAATCAATATAATATTATTTTTAAAAATTAAGATTCTTCTGAAAAATTAAATAAAATAGATTTTATGTAAAATTCCAAAAATGTAAAGCAACAATTATTAAATTGTCCCCCAAAATGAGAAAAGACAGCAACAAAAAACGTCATACAAACAAATCAAATGTACAATCAGTTTAATTCACTGTAACATGTAAATTTATTTTAACTGTGGTGACCATAATTTTAATTATTTCAAAATATTTGACCACAAAAATGGAAGCCAGTGTTCACCAGAATATGCAGTTTTGATAAGTTGTATAATTAATTATAATTTAAAAGTTATGTTTTTAATTACCAAAAACAATACAGTTATTGTATATGTGTCAATAACTACTTTCAAAACTAGATGAAATGAAGTTTTATGTCAACTTATCTTCATTTGCGTCATTTTGTTGAAACAAATAAATTAACTCTCTCAAGACGGAACATTTTCATGAAAATTAGTATCACAAAAAAATTGCATAAATCAAAAGTTACTGAAACCAATTATGTTTTTAAACCTGATCTAATATGATACAATATATAAAATATTTTATTACATTTGTGACTTGTAAACAATTTTTTTTAAGCGAATACATATTTAATACATCGATTCCAAACAATAAAAATGTAAAATTTTACATGAATTTTGAGTGATAAATTCCGTGCATTTAAAGAAGTATTAATAATTTTCATTATGAATATTAACTGTAAAATAAAATCTTTATTTTCAACTCGGGTAGTATTTTTTTATATTAGCTGATATCGTTTTCCTAATAATTTCAAATCTATTGTTTTGTAAATTAATATAGATATTTAAAAAAAAACAAAAAAAAACTTTAAGTTATTCTTGTTCTTATTTTGTGTATAAAGCTTTCATTTTATAGAAAATTTCAAATTCAATTTTCATGTAAATTTATAAGTATGGTTGTCATGGGGACAGTTTGTGAGGTAATAAATTCAGGAAATTAATTACAGGTTAAATAACAACTTATTTTTAATTCATGCATATAAATAATGTTGTGTCTCATAATTATGTAAGAAAATTATGATAATAATGGTCAAAAAGAAAATAAAAAACGTTTGTAAAAATTTGAATCAGAATGAATGCGTGTTCAAAATGTGTTCTTTTCTTAATTCTAAGAGAGTTGTTAAACTGTATATCTTTAAGCCCTGGTGAATTTTTATTGTGAAGTTATAGGCAGTTCTTTTAATTTAGAACAGTCCATTCTTTGATTTCTGAGTATCAAAATACTAAAATTAAGTTCTTAGCCAATAATATAAAGTCTGATCATTTATAGAGTTCGCACATTTATGTTACATACTGACCAGGCTGTATCCCTTTCACACACCTGTTGTTATTGCTGTTACTTTAAAAAAAATGAAATTAAGAAAATATATTGACAGAAATTTATTTTTATCAAATTACATTTTTTTCCCATAAAATATTACATTCAGCAGTTTTGAATTTACAAAGTCAAGATTTCATTTCAGAAGAAAATTCATTACAATTTATTATAAGATCTAAAAATAGCTGCAATCTCATTGGTCCAAACAGTAATCAAAAGAACAAATTATAAAAAATCATACTCACTGGGTGCAGTGTCATATTTACTGACTGATTTGGATTTTCTCAATCTAAAAATAGAATCAGGCTCATATTCAATGACCATACAGCAAATAAAGTTGTCCACGCAACTACATGAATCATATTCACAATCTGTAAGTACCGGTATTTCACAGTCTGAAGTGTCATATTTTATGGCTGAATTTTTCCAATTTAAAAATAGAATAAGACTGGTATTCAATGACCATACAGCGTAGACCATTAACTGCCCAAGTGCATACAAATTAATTTTTTCATTTTGTTCTTTACGGCATATTTCTTGATTCAAATCTAACTATTTTAAAATAATACTACTAGTATAAAAATTATTAAGTTAAAAGTTACACCTCAATGATAAGTACATTTATTACTTTTGTTTGTAGCCATTTAACATCTGACATCATCCTGTAACATGCATCTTTTTCTTGTGTTTGAATGAAAAGACCTTTACTTTTTTATCTTTAGCAGATGATATAATAAAACAGTTATTGACTAATGATCCATTTAATATGATGTGATAATCACCTGTGATATGTCATATTGACCTTGGCTACCATCTTGGTCAATATGACATATCACCTTGGTCAATATGACATAAATTGGTGAATATCACATCATATTGAATGGCTCACTAATTAATAATTGTGTAATATTGTATGAAGTTATTCAAAAATACATGTATTTTCTGTTTAAAACTAATGCCTAGACTTTAATTATAAATGATTGTAACCCTGTTTTGAGAACTATCAGCTGTAAAATGTCAATGCTAAAAGGTCATTGCAATCAGATCAATGCTAAAGGTTGATGCTGAAAGGTCAATGTCATCAGGTCAATGCTAGCAATGTCCACTTTCTTGGCTTTTTTTTGTAAAACTTTCAGTATAACACTGTCAATGTTTAAAATTAATAATCCATATAAATGAATGAGATTTCACTTACTACCTAAAGTTAAATGTGTGCTTGTTCAAACACATACAAAAAAATGCAACTTACATAGTGATTAAACTCATAGTATGAATAAAGAAATTTTTTCTTTAGTTTCAAAAGTATGGAATATAATTGCATTAAAAGCATGAATATATTACTGTCACCTTTGGTCTATTTAATTTATGAAACTAGTGTTTAAGATTTAAATTTCAAATTCCTTACATTTCACCTTGAAATATAATCCATGCTCATGTAAAATAGAATATTAATTAATAAGTTTCAGATAAAAAAGATATGTGACACATAAGAGAAGTGAAATATGCAAACTATTTAAAAAAGCAAATCAGATTTGAGGGCCATATTTTTTGAAAAATTATTTGTTTATGTTTACAGCCAAGTACCAGCAGCTACAGACAGAATATGTTGAGCTGGGAACCACTGTTCAAGAGCAAAAACTTTTGATTAGTCAGCTAGAAGAGGACCTCCGTAACGTCAATGCACTGTCGTCAATGTTCCGTGGTGAGGGGGAGGGAGTCGAGTCTATAACCCCTGGGGCCGAGATGGTTGCTTCCGCTGTGAAAGAAGTCACTACATCAGGTATGTGGCCTTGACTTTGAAATACTACAGTACTTAAAGACAATTACAACTGTAAACATACTTGGGATTCAGTTTAAAATATTGAAAGTTTATTTATTATATCATAATTATTATGAATACTTATTATGTTGTTTTCACAGTTTTATCTTTTTTATGTCTGATATGTTTGAATAATCTGCAGCTGTCAATATATTTTCTTAATTACAATCCTAAAAAGTTTCAATGTTTAGATACTGATGTGACAGACTATTAGCACCAGTTCTGTTCTCATTATTATTTCATTTAGATAAATTGCATTTAGTTCTAAGCATAAGTCAAAGTGGCAGCTCTTATTTCGTGAAAATCGTAGAAGTAATACATTTCATAAAAGAGATCATGTATACACCACATAATGGATGTTTGATATATTACAGCAGCACCACCACAGTCACCTGACGGCTCCAAATCCGCCGCCGACTCCTTGCTGCCCATAGTACAGAGTCAGAGAGAGAGGTACAGGGTGCGAGCCCAGGAACTTGAAGCAGTAAATATACTTACATTCTTGATACAACTTTATCTTGATAGGCTTGTTAGAGAGTTGTGAGTTAGAGTGTGCCAGTTTGTTTTATTCTTGATACACAAGAAAGCTTTCTGCGTTTTTAGCTCGACTTTTCTATGAAAAGGGGAGCTATCCTACTCGCCCCGGCGTCGGCGTCGGCGTCGGCGTCGGCGTTGGCGTCACACCTTGGTTAAGTTTTTCGTACCACCCCACTTTATTTCAGAAGTATTACAAGTATGGCTTTGAAACTTACCATACTTGTTCACCATCATAACCTCCATCTACAGACAAGAGTACATAACTCTGTCAAGGTTTTTGACAGAATTATGGCCCTTTTTTGACTTAGAAAGTGTATTGAGCTTGGTTAAGTTTTTTGTACCACCTCACTTTATTTCAAAACCATTGGAGGTATTGCTTTTAAACTGACCATACTTGTTTACCATCACGACCTTCATCAACAGACAAGAGGACATAACTCTGTCAAGGTTTTTGACAGAATTATGCCCCTTTTTGACTTAGAAAATACATTGAATATGGGTAAAATCCACTTATTGCCTTAACCCTTTGAGATATTGCTTTGAAACTTTTAATGCTATTTCACATCATTACCCCCATCTGTACGCAAGAGAAGGTAAACTCTGTCAAGGATTTGTTTTAAAAATTAAGGCCTTTTATCGACTTAGAATCTTGGTTAAGTTTTTAGTACCAGTCCACTTTTTGACTGAACTGTTTGAGATATTAATTTGAAAGTTGGAATACTTGTTTACAATCATGATTCCCAAACATGTCCAGGAGAAGGTAATTCTGTCAAAGATTTTATTTGAATTATGGCCCTTAACTGTCAATGTTTTGTATTATAGGCAAGCACTAAAAAACTTAAAAAATCTAAAAAAATTCATTCCTATCCACTTGTTCACTTTACCATAAATTATGTCATATAAACATTGTTGTAATATTCAAGGGTATCAAACAACTAGTTCACTTTAAAAATACAGAGATTCTTGTATTGCCTTTTACTGCAAAAACTTTTTTTATTGGCAAGCAATAAAAAAGTCGAGCGCGCTGTCTTACGGACAGCTCTTGTTGTACTTCTCCTGAGGATGCTCTATAGAACTATCCAGTACTTGTGAAATCAAAATATGCAAATATAGCCCACTGCAAAACCAGTAATTAATCCCAAATAACATGTAACTTTTTAATTGTTTTTTAAAAATCTTTGTACTTTGATTTTCTTGAAATATTTTGGCTCATCTGGAAACGTGCAGCTTGAATGTCATTTGTACAATTTATCTTATAATTAATCTTTATTTACAATTTATCGCCTGTTGTCTTATGGGAACTTGCTTAAGTCTCCTAAATCCCCATCTTTTACCACATGAAGGACCATCTTTAATTTTTGTCTGTATTAAATATCCTATTTTGCCAACTTGTTTATAAAAAAAAATTACAACACACATTATAACAAAAATAAGATTTATAAATCACAATCTTTCAGTTAAAAATATTAAACAATATTTCTTAAAACAAGTGAAATTTGATTTTCATGCAAAAAGAATGGTAAAACATTTTTGAAAGGTGTAGAAGTCCCAGGTTGTACAGAAAAGTTTGGTTAGATTTTGAGTCATATCAACACTGTATATGTCAGTTGACAGGAAGTAAGTTTATTTTAATAAATAATTATTTCAGCAAACGATCGGACAACAACAACAGATTACGATGTTACAGAATGAGATTGACAAGCTTCGCTCGGACAACGTTAAACTGTACGAGAAAGTTCGTTACTTACAGTCCGCAGGTTACTCTACCAAGGTAAATAAAAATATATCCATGTCTAGAAAGATAAAACACTTTATAGTAGGATAATAACCTGAATAATATTTTGCTTCTGTTGCTTTCTTTGAATTAGTATAGTAATAGTGATTTAGAATTTAAAATTTCATGGAAGTCAAAATACTACTTTGTTTACACTTAGTTACTTATATGACAAATAATCTGGCATTCAGTGTTACAATTTTTAAACTCTAAGAATCTAACATACTTAAAAATAATTATATCATCTTTGCCCTTTTTAAAAGATGAAAAAGGATTCTTTTCTGAGGCATAATGTGCCTTTCTGTTTTTTAGAAATAAAATATTGCTTTTCACTGAACTTTTTTTCACTGAACTATGTTTACTTGAGATTCTGTTAGTTTGGTTTAGTTGAGATGTAATTAAGTTTGCTAAAGATTATGTTAGATTTAAAATATTTGAATTTACGAAAGTATGGCCAGTACTTGTATGTACATGTATGTAAATTACTAGATATCTATGGTGTTCATGTTTAGTTTGATCTGTATGGAGATATCGATTCATTCACTATATTTTAGATTTACTTACCTATCATATTAATTTATATTTCATATAACAAGACCTTTGTTTATGCTCAGTCTGTCTGTCATATTGAAAGGAAACATTTATAATACAATATTATGTCAAATTATGTCAAATTTTCAGCACAGAAAACCACATTAATTTTCATCAGTTTTGAAGTCATGCAAAGTTGTAACAGCTGTGTTTCTAGTGTATTTTGACAGAAATTATGTCCTTTTATAAAGTTTAATATCTATATTGTTAAAGTTTTGCTGGCAACATTATGTTGTTTTTAGGCTAGTTTGTTTATTTTAGTTAATTTATGTCACCATTATGTGATTTTAATTGTAAACAGTTATGCTATAAACAGGAGAAATCTAATTAAATTTAAGTATAAAGTTCTTCTTGAAGAAAGTTTTGTTTAATGGCTGTTTCTTAAATTATCTATGTCTATTTATAACGCGGCAAATTAAGTTTCCTTAAATAAATATGATGTTGATATAAAATAAGGCATCAAAAAATAAACCTTGTTTTTTAACCTTTCTTTTCGTAAAGTATTATTTAGGCATGCTATGCTAGTATTATTTAGGCATGCTATGCTGTCAATTTGTGTGACTTCTGACCTTCAAAATGACCTTGACCTTGAACCTTGTGTGCTTATCAAGTTTGAGATTTGTGTCTATTTCAAATGTAAGACTTTTTAATTTAAAGTAACAAACCTTCATAAATCTTTTACAATAAGCCCTTTAAAACTGAACAGTCAAAGTTTGTTGGACATGTATATAAATTACATTATGAATAAGGTAAAGATTTTATGTGGAAATTCTGTTAGTGTTGTACTCAAAGTAAATAAAAAAAACATAAACTTAAATTTGAAATTTTTCCAAATACAAATGTACTAGTATTTACATTAAAATACATCAAATGTCCACCATTTTAGTGGCTTTTGTTAGATTTATAACCAACAGCTAGACAGTAAAAATTGGAATAACATTTTAATATGTATAATTATATTTCACTTAATTGCATTAAAGCAAGTTATTGACAGAATGAAATAGTATTACATTAATTTTCTTTACATCAATCATTTTAAGAAATATTTTAAGTTTTAGGGATTAAAGTCAAAATTTTGCGAAAATGTTAATAATGATATAAAAAATCATCTTCAAAAAAAAAATCTGATGCAAAGTAAAGTTACATAAACGTGATTTTTATTTCTAATTTCATGTTTTGAGAATAATTACATTAAAATGTAAATCACGCGTATATAAATCACGAAAGATATAATTTTATTATAAATCAATCAAAATTTTGCAAAACAGTCATAAAATCACTGTAGCATTTTGAAGGGTTTATGCATTAAAATGTGCATAATTAACTAGCATAAAAATGCAGAAAATAATTTCTTGTGAAGACAGTTCAGGATGTAAGACTGACAGCCTATCTCTCAAATATTTTCATTTTTCCATTTTGTCATTAAGTTAAAGGTTATGACAAAAAAGTTCCGCCAGTGACATCGACGTTCCAGCTTACACTGATCATTTTATCTTTTAAGTCATATTATATAAATTTTAGTAAACTTAAAATGTAATTACATAAGTATATTATTCTATTAGAAAAAAAAAATGTTTTGAAGACATGTGTCACTGTTAGCTACACACTGTTACATGTACCATAAATAGAGGATATTCAAGTTTTTTCTATAAATACATGATTTATTTTCATCGAGTGGTATGAAAATAAATATTTCATGAGTGGCAGTAGCCACGAGTGAAATATGGTAATTTTCATGCCACAAGATGAAAATAAATCATGTATTTATAGAAAAAACTTGAATTTTCTGTTTATTATATACTTTTTTCTCTTTTTTGCAATAAAATTGGAAAGACTTTCCCTTAAATTTTGTGTACTGGCAGAATTTAAAAGAAAGTAGTCCGGCAAGAGACCAGTGAAAATACGGAAAATATGTTTCACTGCAGTGAAAAATAAATTTTTACAGTGAAAATACAGAAAATGAAAATACGCATTTTATTTTATCAATATTTCATTTATAAGTATATAATAAACATTTGTAATAGTTTTAAAAGAATGAAATGAAAGACAAAAAGATGGAAAAAGGGAAATAAAAATTCACTCAAGTTAGCATTAATCAGAAGTGTATGTATTTTCAGGAAACATCTGTATCATTTTGAATTCACTAATTGTCTTTAAAAAACTGTACTGTAATCTAATACATTACCAGCACATGTAAGTTTACATCTTTCTTGCATATCAATGCTATCTACAATTTAAGCTTTTGAATACACCAAAACTTTAAAATCATCTGTAAGCTTTTGAATAAACTAAAACTTTAAAATCATCTGTAAGCTTTTGAATACATCAACACTTTAAAATCATCTGTAAGCTTTTGGATACACCAAAACTTTAAAATCATCTGTAAGCTTTTGGGTACACCAAAACTTTAAAATCATCTGTAAGCTTCTGAGTACACAAAAACTTTAAAATCATCTGTAAGCCTTTGAATATACCAAAATTTTAAAAATCATCTGTAAGCCTTTTAAATACACAAAACTTCAAAAGTGTCTGCTGGCTTTGGAAATGCACCAAGACTTTAAAATCATTTGTAAGCTCTTGAATGCACCAAAACTTTAAAGTTATCTGTAAGCTTTTGAGTACACCAAAACTTTAAAATCATCTGTAAGCTGCACCAAAAGTCCCCCTTAGCATAAAAGGGAGAGCATCAGTACTGTAATTCATCGGTCACTTGTGTGATTCTCAGACAAGAAAAGACAAAAATTCTTTGTGACAGTTGATCTCTGTCATTGAATCCTATTGGTCATTTGTCTCTCACTGCTGATCCAGAAATTACTTCAGTAGCAGGTCACATACAAAATCAAAGCACAGAAGGCGCTGAATTTGTTTGGGTCTCAGAATGTAAGAAAGGTGCAGGTTGTGAGATTATATGTTTAGTGCCACCAATGCTTTCCAGCGTTTTAATTGTAGTAAATTGGCTATAAGACTAATTGCAACACTGATATTCAATCCAATGTTTATTTGACTTTAACAATTTAAAAAAATGATTTACCTTTACTGGGATTTGAACTCCAGACCTCTCGCTTCCTAAGCGAGCCTGAAAACCCTTCAGCCACGGTTAAATTTATATGTGAACGGCCTGAAGAAAACCATATTATTCTAAATTAGGGCTTGTAACGACTTTTAACTGTTGTTTAACACAGATGTAAATAATCATGAAGCTTACTATAAGCATGTATATTTATAAAGAATCAAAGGGCTTCAAGTTCTTTGGTATTTTCTGATCTTTGCAATCTAAATCGTACTGTATATATGTATGCATTTTCCTGTATAAGTTTATTTTTATGTATTATAATTCATTTTGTAAGGCACATACGGAATTCTGCATAACTAGAGTTGCATCAAAAAATCATTTATGTACTTTTTTTACGACAGCCACACTTTATCCTTGTAAATCATGGCTACTAACTTCCTTAACAAAAATAATTAAAAAAAGAATTTAACAAAAAAAAAATTTCCTCGACTGGGATTCGAACTCGAGACCTCTCACTCACAAAGCGAGCGCGTTACCACTGTACCACGGAGAAGTTATACACAGAATGTCTGAATAATATCAAGTCATTCTAAATTTAGAACTTCCATTGCATTCAGGTTTGTAATCCTTATTAATTTCGAGGTATTTTGTTCAGGGTAAACCTGTTGTTTAAAATTGCAGTAAATATTTTAGCGAAAATCCTCTCGCCCAAACAGTCCGACATGTAGAATCTATATATTCCACTACTCGGTTTGTGTAGTATTCGGTAATCTACATGGCTAAAAATAGTATTTTCATTGATAAAATCATATTCATCCGCGTAATTTGTGATTGTGCATTTATTGACAATTCTATAAGCCAACGCTATTGTTTAACTTTAAATGCGTTGTAATTTGTTGGATACTTGTAACAAAATAAAATATTTCTTTCTTTTAAATCGCTAGTTTTAAGCTGTTTTGAGAACTACTTGTTGTTAGGTTTGTCATAAACTTCTGTGTCAGAGATTGAATGTCCGCTTTGTATTTAGTTATTTTCGATCAGAAAATACCAGAAAACAATATTAGAAATCTTCGACCATTCGGGAATTACTTTGCTTGAAAATTGATGCGCCTGTCTTTGACCATCTTTACGCAGTGATCTCCCCTGAATTTTTCGGCTTTAGTGTACATACAAAAGGGAAGTAACCGCTTCAAAAAAGTGGACTACTTTCGGCATTTGCAATTAAGAACATTAGACTCTGAAATTTCGCTACCATTATTTGTTTGGTCTGACGACCCAAACAAATAAAAACTAGGTAATTACTGTATAGTTATCCAGAAAAGCCAGTTACGTGGACCAATGTTATATTTATAAGCCGTAATGTTTCCTTGGGCAAGAAACTGCATACATTGCTTACTAGTACTGGTTGGTTCCAGGAACGGATTTGAGAGTGTTTTGATAAGCTTTATCATAGCTTCCAACACAATTGAACTAAAATGAATTTGTATACACAAAACTAAACTAATGTTATAGTAATTGAACCATCATATATTAACTTATGCACACCAATATTAGGGGTATTAGTTAATGTTGTACCATCATATCAATTACAAATTGTATACATGTAGACTAAGATTGATACCTTTATATTTCAGTCTGGCAGTCACCATGACGATGGAACACTGACCAAGTATTCTACCCAGTACGAGGAACGTCTCGACCCATTCTCATCATTTAACAGGAAGGTTTGTTATTACCTCCCTTTATATTTAAATTGTGTCATGAATTTAAAATGATTGAAATGGATGATTTTGTCGTAATTCATGTGCAGTCAATCTTCGGTGAAATTGAAACAATTTTTTTTTAGTCTTGACTTTTAAATCTTAAAATGTTATTATATAATTATGATGTAATTTTAATACACTTCTTATAAATTGTAAATTCTGTTGAAAAGTTAAGAGCTAAACATATAATGGCAATTTAATGTATTCATAGATTAAATGGTTTAATAAATGGTTTAATCATTTGATCCAAACTAAGATCTTAGATACATTTCTGTTTTGATTTTGATGTTTCAGGAGAAGATTAAGCGCTATATGAATCTCAAACCGTATGATAAAATAACTCTCAGTATGGTATGTTAAATTTATTATTTAACTGTACACTTAAAATTCACTCTTACAATAGTATCAAAACAAACTTTGAATATGTTGTTCATGAAATAGATATAAATTTTGAGTGCATTTATGGTTTGAGTTCAAATGCACAGGAATATATTCACAAAGGCCAATGTCTTCATGATAAATTACGAAGCATTTGAATGATAAACCATGCATTTATACTACAATGCAAGAAAAATTTATATCTATTTCCATTCCAATATGCTATTAATTAAAAAGGAGAATTGATAAAAATATTTTGAACTACATTAATGGCGTAAAAAGTAATTTTCCTGATGTCATTTGGTTAGTTGATGTCATATCTGATGTCATATAATGTACAATCATTCCATATTTATGTCCTGCATATAATGTAAAATATGCACTTGACTACCCTATCTGTTTGATAAGGGGGTAGTGTGGATGGTGTTAGATTGTAGAATAATGCATCATTCAGATCTACAAATACACTTACACGTATATATAATCAGAAAAGCCAAATGACATCCTGAGTGATTAATTAAAAAATCTATTAAATGATAAACCATGTATCATAATATGTAGAAAAATTCATATCATATCTAATTTCATTCTTGATAAAAAAGAAAGAAAATCAATAAGAATATGCTGAATAATATTGAATTGGATAAGTTATTTTTATGATAAAATAATCAAAGTGAGTAGACATATGGCTGTTTACATTCCTGTTCATAATAAATTCTGTGACAAATGGTTAGTAAAAATTGGAATCAATGCGCAGTCCAGTTAGTATTGAAATAAACTGATGCAATGTTAAAATATTTAATTAATTTCAAACTGTGCAATTAATTATCACTCAAAGAGGTGGAATACTATGCTGGCATATTTATGTTGACAGATGAACAATTAAAGGCCCATTATGCCTAAGAAATGCTTTTATTTATTTCTCAGAAGTTTTTATTGTTATTTTTTGTGTAGTTTCTAAAAAATTACTTGACCTAGAACCAGAAACATCTATTTGTTTTGTTGCCTTTTGGCAATTAGTTCAGTTAAAGTGATTTAGTATTTTGTATGGAAGTCAAAATACTACTTTGTTTACTTTTTTCTACTTCTATGACAAATTACTGCATTCTTCAAGTATCAAGAATCTATAACTTATTCTAAAGCCATTATTTAAACTTGAACTTCATGTTTGGCCTTCCAAAAGAAGTAAAAATTAATATTTCTGCGGCATTACCTCATTTATTATCTTACTATTAACTAGTTAGTTTGCCTTTAATATTAGATGAATAACAAATATTTCACAGATAAATAAATATATATTTTATATTTCAGGGCAAGTTTATCATGGGAAACAAGACAGCTCGTACATTTGCGTTCTTCTACACAGTGCTACTACATTCTCTAGTCTTTGTGGTAAGTATGTTGAAGATATTTGAGCCGTGTCACGACAAAACCAACATCGCTTACCAACCCTATAACAAGTAGAGAAACTGATAGCGAACAGCATGGATCCTGATCAGACTGCGCGGATGCGCAGGCTGGTCTGGATCCATGCTGGTCGCAAACCCATTTTGTTGGTATTGTCATGACGCGGCTCATTTTAGTTTGATTTGCTGGTAGTGTGTTTTGAGCTGTCAACTTTTGTGCACCCTATACTATATAGTTAAGTCTTTTAATTCAATATATTATTAGATATAAAGATTGTTGACTGGTTATAAAATGAAGCAAGTAAATTTCTGGAATTCTGACTGGATGAAAAGTCATATATACTTTTAAGAACTGAACTGTGCACATGTAACAATGCATCTCTACATGTGTACATAAAGTTTATTATTGTGTTTTGTACTAAATGATATATTTTGCAATTCGGATGTCAGTTTGAAAAATAGTTAAAAGATACACAGCAATGATGATTTTAGATTTGAATTACTTTTTATTGTGCAGCATTTGCGTAGCAGTTGAGCGTTTGGCATCAAAACCCTAGCCCCTTTTGCAATTTGTGACAAATATGTTAATACCATTACTTGTGCTTTGAGAAATTTCTATCTTGGACAGTCAGTTCAGTGCTTTGATAGAAAATTTATTATATTACAGGTGCTATACAAGTTAGCTCATATGGAGTCAGTGAAGCGTGACACATCTCTGGAATGTCACCAAGAGTAAGATATTTATGTTATTATAACTTTTCAACTTATGATGCTCTAAACCCTAAAGTAAAAGTGACAATCTTTCTGATCAGTTACTATTAATCACTGTTAATTACACTCTAAACTTTCTCTTTAATTAAATAGCCAATGAGAGAATATGAATGAGAATAGGGATTTTATTAAAAACAGTCCCCTCTTATAGTATTAGGCATAATATGACACAAGGTGTTATATTTAATTAAAAAAAAACAACAAAAAACAAACAACACACACAATAGGAACCACCAGTAAACAGGCCCTGTAAATTCTATCCCTTACCCATTGATATAAATTACCGGTATACAAATCTCTTTACTTATATTTTGTCACTAACGAGTAAGTGTAATAAATATCTGTTTTGTGCAGTTTCCAGAAAAGCAAGTAAGGTACCAAAATTTTATTTATAAGTAGACTTCACATCATATCACTGGTCTTACTACCCAGATTTAATTTATCCTTTAGACAAACTGCCATGAGGTAGTCCATTTTGCATGGAGCCAATATTTTGGTTGTCTTCAGTAGGAACTTGTAGATTTGATGAGGAGGGATAAATCAAAGATTAAAGTTTTAATTTTTACACATTAACATTATGCTTAGCCTTTACCCTGCTAAATGTATTTGTCATACTTTAATTTTGATCATTAAATTGTTATGTAAAAGATATCAATGAAAAGGATTTTAGGTTGATTTTTAAAGTAACGTCATATCAACACTTTAAAGGTCAAATGGAGACTTTTCAGGTAGACCTCGGATTTCCCTCCTGAGTAGAACCACTGACATTCCATAAGCTAGCTGGATAGCTAGCTCAAATGAATGAATCCAAGGTCCTTGTTGGGGTTCGAGAGGGGAAAATGGTTTGAAGTCAATTTGAAATTGTATCAAAACATTAAAAAGTAAAGTGTGTGCAGCTTGGCCTCATACTGGTGTAATTGGAATGTCAATTTTGATGTTTCTGTTTACAAGTTTTACAACATATATTAATCTATGTGTCATTGACTGACATTCAATTACAAGCATCCTGACAAATTCTTTAAAGCTGTAATACAGAGCTGACATTGTGATACATTTCTATCCTTTATTCAATCAATCAATAATTATTTATGTGTCTGTTATTATAGCTTACATATTTATCTATTTACCTTAAATATGAGTATGCTTCTGAAATATGGTAAATATTGATTTCTGAATTGCTGTTTTCTGTAAATTGATATTGCTTTATGTTTACAGTACATGTTATTATTGTATCTAGCTGTTAAACTGTTTTGTTAATTTTTGTAGTTATATGTTTGTATATATGTTCAGCTCTTCATGTACAATTTGAAGGAAATAAAGTATCTATCTTCAACATCTCTATATGTATTTATACTTGACTCAACATTTTTATGCACTTTTAAATTTATATGTTTATGATTTCAGATTTGCTGAGCACATGTTGAAGGCACATGGAGAAAAAGACTGGCTACATGGACATGAACATCCATAAAATGGACCAAGGGAGACAATTAATACTTCATTTCTCATCAAGAAAGACAACTCAAATTTGACCAATTATCATTAAATGAACATTATTATACCTAAAATGCTGTAAATATTTGAGGATTTCATTTGGACATTTAGAATGATTTTTAGTTGTATTAACTGAATGAGAGCTAATTTTCTTTTTTTTTTACTTTTGCATTTTGAGCAGGCCTAAACATTACTCTAAAATCATGTTTGAAATAGTTTGTGTTGTTTTAATAAATGTGGTATTCGAGCTGGAATATGTCTGGTGTTTGTTTATATGGGTATAGTATCATTACAGATAAAGTAAAATTTTAACGATTGTTATGTAGCTTCTATATACCTGCTTTATATATTTCAATGGACCTTTCCAGTGTTTACAATTTTATGAATTGGTTAATTACAATCATGTAGAGTTGCTTCCCTTGGCATATTACACAGTCACTGGTTGACATGCTTTATACAAAAGAACATATGGTTTAGTGAGCAGTTGATCCAATAATGTATAGAGAAAAAAAATGGGAGCTAAATTTTTCACTGTTATAAACTGGAAAGGTCCATTGGTTAAAAAATCACTTGTTAGATCATTATTCCATATAGTCTGACGATATTATAAAATATAAATCCTATTTATAAAATTTATGTGTGTACGACTATTAACATGCCAATTTTAATGCAGAAGTAACACAGTGGAGTATCGAAGATTAACAGATTAATTGAAACTTTCAGTCTTATATTTCATTCTTTACTTTGGTTTTAACAAAATTTTTAAGTTATCACAAGGCATGTCAGTGTAAAAGTGAAATCATACTGTGGGAAATAATAAAGGTTTTAAATACATAATTATTTTGTTTTATTATTTCTATATTTGAAGTTAATTTTTTGCATACTTCACATGTTTGCAAAAATCATAGTGAATTAACAAGTCTTCTAAAAGTGGCGGCATGGCTGAGTGGTTAACGCGTCAGACTAGTAATCTAATGATCACTAGCTGTTTGGGTTCAAACCCCATTAGGGGCAAGTCATTGTTTCCTTGAGCAAGAAACTTTACACTCATTGCTCAGTACTGGTTGGTTCCAGGAACGGATTCGAAAGTGTGTCTATAAGCTTATAGCTTCCTACACAATCGAACTAAAATAAATTCTGTATAAACCAAAAAATTCTACTTACTACATGTACCTGTTATTGCAAGAAAGATACAAGTCAGAAAAGAAACTTTGGTACAGTGATGGGAAATAAGAAGTGCAAGACATGGTAAACAATAAATTGTATAGGTTTGCAAGACGGGGTACAGTGCTTTCGTTTTATACCGTGAAAATAGTTTCCTAGTAATATTCACATTAGTTTATTAAGTCAATTTTTCAAAAGTATTGGCATTATCCTCTTTTCTTGCATATAAGACAGGATTATGAATTTTCTGTTTACACCGGTGCTAGAAAAACCTGTCTTACAACTCCCATGTAAGGGGTAACTGGCAGAGCCTCGTTACCACCGTAAACAGTTACCTCAAGCTAGATATTCCAGTCTGTACCAGCAGCCAGTGTAAGATTCTTATAGTCTGTATTAGCTTTGGCATTGGTTAACCTTTTCTTTAAGGTCTCTTGCTCAATAATTTATAGCACATTTGTAGAATTATGCCCCATTTTCTATATTGCTTTTATTATGCTCCCCGAATGGAGAGCATATAGTTGTCGCCTTGTCTGTCCTTCTGTCCGTTCATTGACTTGTCCGGAGCGTAACTTGAAAACCCTTAGGGATATTTTGTTTAAACTTCACACAGTGGTAGAGGGCATTGTGCCAGAGTGCAGTGTCAAAGAACCATAACTATATTATGCCCTGTTTTTGAATTATCTCCCCTTTTAGAAAAATCTTGTCTAGGGTATTACTCTAAAACTATAAGAGATATCAACATGAAACTTTGTAGGTAGATAGATCTCAATGGGTAGATGTGCAGTGCACAAATATTATAACTCTGCCTTGTCTAATTTATTGTCCTTTGTTCATGTTTGCACCTTTAACTTTGTCCAAACATAACTCTAAAATTTTAAGAGATATCAACATGAAACAGATCTCATTGGGTAGAAGTGCAGTGCAAAAGAACCATAACTCTGTTATGGCCCCATTTTTTAAATTATCTCCCTTTTTAGAAAATTCTTGTCCGGGATGTAACTCTAAAACTGTAAGAGATATCAACATGAAACTTTGTAGGTAGATAGATCTCAATCAGTAGATGTACAGTGCACAAGAACCATAATTCTGCCTTGCCTAATTTTGGAGTTATTGCTCTTTTCTTTTTTTTACACTTTGAATTTTGTCCGGAATATAACTCTAAGATTATAAGTGATATCAGGATGAAACTTTGTAGGTAGGTAGATCTCATTGGGTAGAAGTGCAGTGCAAAAGAACCGTAACTCTGTCTAGCCCCATTTCTTAATTATCTCCCCTTTTAGAAAAATCTTGTTCGGGACATAACTCTAAAACTATAAGAGATATCAACATAAAACTTTGTAGGTAGATAGATCTCAATCAATAAATGTGCAGTACACAAGAAGTGATACTCTTCCTTGCCTAATTTTGGAATTATTGCACTTTGAACTTTATCCAGGGACATAACTCTGAAACTACAAGAGGTGTACTTTCCTGTGTCCAAAACCTATTCGGGGAGCATCACCTCGTTCAAACCGGGCTCTTATTTAACTATCCAGCACTGAGATAAGTGGAGTGTGCTGTACACGGACAGGTCTAATGTTACATTTTCACTATTGTTTGATCAACTTTTACCTTTACTGGTGGAAGGACATGTGACCCTCTCTGAGACTGGTTCCTCTGTAAGTTACCTGAATGACTTTCTCATATTCCATGTTATCAATGACACACCTAGCCAATACTGGGAGAGTTTGTTTGTTTGTTTTGGGTTTTACGTCACAGCGACACAGTATAGGTCATATCGCGACGTTCCAGCTTTACTGGTGGAGGAAGACCTCGGGTGCCCTTCCGTGCATTATTTCAGGCACAAACAGGCACCTGAGTAGAACCACGGACGTTCTGTAAGCTAGCTGGATAGCTTCCTCACATGAAAAATCCAAAGTCACTGTCGGGATTCGAACCCACAGCGGTGAGCGGCAAGTGATTTGAAGTCATATTTCATTGACGTGCCTATAGTATAATGGTAATATTTAGCGCATCTTTACACTATGTTTGTATAATGCAAATGTTATGTCAAAATATATGCACTCCATTTTTATTGAGTCGCCAAAGGGCCAAGGGTATGTGATAAAGTGGCCTTTTTCATGTTGAAATCTAACCACTTTCAGTTTTTTTTTTAAACCATCTTTATTGATAAACCAATGTCTCTGGTATTTGGTTTATTAAATGAAATTCATCTTCAAATTTTTAACTTTCTATTCTAGTTTATTTAATTACAAAAGCCGAGTAGGAAAGCCTGCTCCACTATTCTCAGTGCTTGGTAGTAAAACAAGAGCAAGTATAATGTAGAATTTTCTAAGTTTAAAAAGGACCTTAATTCAGTCAAATTTCATGAAAGAGATATGAGCCTCAAAAAATGATCACCTACCATGCTCTAAAATAAGAATTTTAATTTTTAAAACCCAAATTTCCCCTTTCCCGTTTTTAAAATTTACAAACTTCCCAACGAAAATTTAAATTTGAATTTATGAAAACCCGAGGTAAAGTTAAAGACCCTTTACTATTTTTTTAAACATTAAAGAAATTTTAGGGGTTTTTTGAAAGTAAAAACCTTTATAAAAAGGGAAAATTTGAAACCGGGGTTTTTTGGTAAAAAATTATAAAACACATTTAAACTATTTCACTTTTAACCTTTCCCTTAAAAAAATACTTCAAAAATATCAAGGGGGGATTAAACTTCCCAAAACAGGAAAAATAAACAAATACATTTATTAGGGTTTGGCATAAAATTTAACAAAGTTTTAAAATTTTCTTCTTTTTTTTATTTTTTTTCTTTCTGACAAAATTTCATAAAATTTAAAATTATTACATTAAATTTAATATAAATTTCTGTAAACGGGTTAACAAAAATTTATTTACATTTAAGTATTAAAAATAATTGTTGTTCATTACCCCTGAAAAATTTTGTACAATGGACATTGTATCTATCTACATTATAAGATAGCCCTTATCCAGAACTCGGCAATTTCCCGCTACAAATAAACTTTTACTGTTACAGCTCCATGATGCACTATGTACACAACGGGATTAACCCAACCGGGTTGCATTTTATTTTATAAGCCGAAAATGTAAAAGTTTTGTTTTTTTCCTAAGTTTTGGGCAAAAAAAAATTTTAAAATATTTTTAATTCGGGGGTAAGTCTTTTGACTTTCCCCCTTTTACTTTGTTTTTTCTAAAAAGGTTTATAAATAGGGAAAATAGTAAACCCAAAATTTAGAATCTGGTGGAAAAAGGCAAATCATTATTGCGGGTTATTTTAAAATTTTAACAAAAAGAAAAAATCAAACAATACTGTATAGCATGATATACATAATTATAAATCTAAAAGTTTTCAAAAAATAATTACTTTAAATTAATAAAACAGAAGTAAAGACAAAATGTTTTGGTTATGAGTAATGAAATGCTACTTAAACACTTGAAATATTGAATAGTGAAGAAATTGATGAAAATTCTCAACTTTTAACTAAAGAGTTTACTTATTACATGTACATGTACCTTATTTTCAAGGGAAGTAACTCACTATTTTTCAAGACAAGCTACAAAATATATAACATTTAATAATCTTTGTAGAATATTTGTATATGTATATAAAATTTTATCTACTGTATCTTTCTAAAGATTGATTGACACCACATGTTTAATCATAAAAGATTGGTACGTAACTAATTGAATATTAATTGATTTTTTTAAGTTCTAATGCAAATAAGAAATGATTGTAAAATTAAAATGTACTGCACATTAAAGACAGAGATCTGACAGATATAAACTAATGATTGC